GAAGCAGGCAATAAAAAAGTGAAAGTGATTTCACTAAAAAACTACAAATAGCCCCTTTAATCTTGTACACCAACTCTTTTACACTGGCACGAAAGAATGATTCTCCTGTGTGGTTGTGTGTTGATGATGCATGGCTTTTCATCTACTGTGAAAGAGTTTTGTTCCTTACAGGTAACCAATTAAGGGTAATGTTACAGATCAAGTGACTGCTCAGGGATGGGTGGGTGTGTGTGTGTGTGTGTGTGTGTGTGTGTGGAGTAGGCGGTTTCTTGAAGTGACAGGCAGTATAAAAGAAGGGTGACAGTCAAGTGGGTTCATGTGCATCAAAGATGGACCACTTTTCCTGACAGAGGATGCAACAAACTGTTGAAGCTATGAAAAGTCCGCACACAGATTTTCAGAACAAGCACATCCTAAAACCTGCTGTTGCAGGATGATGTTTGCGGGCACATGGAGACGTTGTCGTTGCTGCCCGCCGCGTACATCAGGAATCAAAGGCCGCCATTGTTGGAATGAGAAGCAGATGTTTGTGAGGAATTCTCCTGACTGCAGCAGTTTTTTCTTTTTTCATGCCTAGGCTTTGAGCACTCCCTCCCTTCTGCTCTCTCTTTCTCTCTCTCTCTGCTGTATATATCCACCCTGCATTCTCTCTCTTTCTTTTTTAGCTTTGACACATACTGTTCCTGAAGCTATTCTTAAATCAGCGTGGTGACAGCCTCCTTCAGGTGGCCTGTTCCCTAGTTTTTCTTTGGCTCCACCATCCCACAGTTGGACACAGAGACTCTCCACCCCTCTGATGTCAATGGAGGAGAGAAAGACAGAGATAGAGAAAGGTATAGTTGGGACAGAGGCCCTTTCTCTACATCTCACTGTGGGGTTTGGTGTCATGCCTGACTCTGAGGTTTGCCACGTTGACAGAATCCCTGTTTGAAGCTGAAAGGCAGGAGGAAGCCCAGTTGGCTGCTCTTTGTGCGTGTGCTGCTTTAGCTGGACTTTCGTATTGCATCACACTTTGCCTGCCAGTGAAAGGGGGATGGAAAGCAGCAGTAATTTCATTATCCAGCACTCTCTTCCCTCACACAGTGCTCCCGGTACACAGTGTGTAAGCAAATCCACCCTTTAGTTTCACAGTGGACAATCCCCTTTGTGGTGATGTGTCATGTGTAGACCAGACATGACACAATACACCATTAAACCCATAAATAATGACTATACTCGGTTATGCCCTGTCTCTCCAAGATACCAACATACGCATCCACTTTCACCGTTCAACAGTGTAATAAACGAGTTGAAACTAGGATGTGGTTGTGGAATCAGGAGTCATATTTCTGGATGAAAATGTGATATGATATGACTTCGACAGAACCCACTTCATGGGCCATTAACTTTTCTACTTGGAGACTAACTGGATGTGTGAATGTTTCCTCCTTGTACACAGATTTTAAACCCTGGCAAAAAACAAAACCCTAGGACAAATCGTTTTTAAAATGCTTCTTTAAGTTTTTAAAAAGGATTTGGAGTTGTAGTTGAATGGCATTTAACTACTTAAAGTCAGATACAGTAGCACCAGCTGAATGTTTCTAGGAAAGAAAAGCAAGCAACATTTTATGATATTCTAAGATGTCCAAACCAAGCTGCCTACATCAGGAAGATATCACATGGTGAACTGTGATTTTTCATGTGTGGGACTATTTCTTAGCAGAAAAAGTAGACTATTTTCGGACTGGCAGTAGTCTCCTACTTAAGCCAGATTTATAATTCTGTGTCGGGTCTACACCATAGCCTATGGCGAACGCTAGTTGGCTGTAGCGTTATAGCGTCCACTGTGTTGAGTTTTGCCGGCCGAAGAAGCTAACTTCCTGTTTAGCCCTCGGCTAACTTGAATGGGGGTTAAATGATATATGTGTGGCTCTTATAGACTTTTCAAATGTTAGAAGTAGATGTAAATCAAGCTTTAGTAATGAGACATGTGTCACAAAGTGAGTGAACGAATGTAAATGCACTCTTACTATGGGGAATATATTGTATAATTAAAGCATGATATGACCTAAACACATACAATACAGACGCCTAGTGTTGCAGCGGTGCTATCAACAGGTGAAATCCAATGCTAAGCTATACTGTAAAACAAAACCTTACACCTTATCCTAAGGCAGAGCTGCTGTTAACCCCCTGCATCAAGTACAAATCCAGTTTCAGCTGATATGGTCAAAGTTTTCCACTTTTTCTGTGTCTGACTAGGGGGTGCAGCAGTATACCCGTTTCAAGGTACATTATCTACGGTAAGGAATTTTGCCACATTAGTGTTGTAAAAAAAATCAAGTTTATATCAAGTCCCTCAGGACATAATATTTTGATATATTTTATTATAATAAAGTTTTTGTTCAACCAATCAAAAATTCTGTTTTCATTCCTTTAAAGGGTACTTTTTGTATTTTTCAACCTGGACAATGTTTTCCCATGTTTTTGTGTCTATGTGACTAATTAGGACAAGATTTTATGAAATTGGCCCAGTATTGATGGAGCGCTGCATTCAGCAAACGAGGGCAAGTAAGGTTCAGGTTGAAAAATACACTTCTCTTGGCACCACTCACGATCTCTGGAGGGGAAGCGAGTGGTGGCGGGAAGTGATCCAATTAGATGGATCTCACTTCTAATTAACCCCGCTGCTGTCACAAAGCTCAGTTGTTCTGTAGTAGCACCTGACATATGGTCGTGGCATGAGAGCAGGAACATACCCATTGTGTGTGTTACATTTGCGTGTGCATCTGATGTACATGTGTCTCTATTTTTGTCTGCATGTACGTATGTGTGTGTGTGTGCGCGCAGTAGTGATGTGTTTAGTCAGTATCAGCAGCAGCGCAGGGAGCCGCCCCAGCCATAGCTCATCAGCAGACTTTGCTGAGTGGCTGCTTGCTCGCCACACTGCACATCCAATGACCAGCGTTAATGAGAACTGATGCTGTATGTCAACTGTATGTGTATTTATGGACACTCTACCCACAATGCTACTGGTCTCCGCTACAACAAAGCAGTGTTATATGTTGACAGCAGGCGTACTGAATGAGTACTTAGTCCGACAAGCACTTTTTGACTTTGCAGCAGAAGTCCAAGCCTGCAGTTAAAATTGTTGTTTATTGGTATCATTCTACTTATTCATTCTGGTGTTGTTTCTACCGCTGCTTGCTTTGTTGAAGTAAGAATTTACTGGTTTTAAGGCAGGGTTTTCACTTTTATATTCACTGCCCCAGCTTATAAAGGCAGTACTGGCTTAAATCCAGAACTTTTAATGTCTTTGAATAGCTGGAGGAGGCCGACTGCATTGAAACCTGAATTTTAGTATTTGTATGCAGGGATGATAGTTTACAAAAACTGACTCCTTTAATTTTCTATGTGGTGAATAAACCTTAAATTCTCTGATTGCATCTTTTTAAATGCAAATTGTTTTTCACTCTGGAATGTGATCCTACCCAGTATCCGTCCTATCTGTTTTTAATGACAACATGGCTTCAATGCGAGTGACTTTCAACAGGATGGAGTGATAATCTGGATTGATTGTTCTTTAACATTCTTTTGTCTGGTCTGAGACTTTTCACACCCTCTGACGGTCTCACGCGTCCTCAGGGACAGTTCATGCTGTGAGCAGCTCACAGGACAACTGTTAATGTTGGAGGTGTGTGGATACACTCTCTCTCTCTCTCTCTCTCTCTCTCTCCAGTGTGTGTGTGTGTGTGTGTGTGTGTGAGAGAGAGGTGTATAGTTGGAAGAAGACAAGGGAACGTCTTGGTGTTGTACAAAGATTGATAAGATCTAACTTGACTCGGACACAGGTGTAGGATTAAGTCAAAATTCCCAAACACATTGTCAAAACACTATAACTTAATTCAGCCAGTAGATATTCTTTCACATTCCTGTTACACTTTTCCGTTGCCCTTTCATCCGTTTCCCTATTTAGTATAAAAGTAAGCATTTGGTGCAAAACAATACGGCAGCCAACCTCCAGGGCTGAACATGAAGCCAACGCGGTGGTGGTAGGTGGTTTCAGCAACCAGGTTGTTCATCCTGCCTCAGCTTCACCTCTTCACCCAATTTCTTGATTAGCCTGAGCCAAGCACTGCCAAGATGGCGGCTGCCAGTGTCTCGTGACACCTCCCACATTGACCCTCACAGCGGCTCTTCAGAAACCTATGGGCGACATTACGGAGACTACGTCCATGTTTTATATAGTTTTTGTATTTCCCAAAGACAAAGCTACTCTCTGACTCTTTTATGTGGATTGTAGCAAATAGTGCAAAATTCAACCAAGTCAAACAGCCAAAAGCATGTCAACAGAACTGAATGAGTTGACAAAACTGATGCCAGGAGGAATATGTGGAGCTGTTTGGCTTCCAGAGCCAACAAAGTCAGACACCCTGTCGACATCTAAGCCCCATGCATAACTTTCCTAACAGCTGTTCAAGTCAAGCATGGTAATACATTATTGCTTTTTTGTGGCAGTGTTGTGGATCTGGTTTGTTAAAATGCCTTGAAGTTAAAGTTTACAACTGAGTTTGTTGTAATTTAAGTGATAAAGTGAAATCAGTTGGTTTTTGGGCGTGAGTCACACAGTCTTTGTATTTTGTTCATGCCATCATTACATATCATCAGTTCCTCTCCAGACAGATGTTCATATGTTCCTCAGGAGTCACTGACATTCCCCTGCAATGATGTCACATAATCATGGAAACAAACAGGAACACTGACATCCTTTTTGTCGGCCTGTCTTTTATTTCTCCCGTCCTATTTTAGTGGGGAACATATTCTTCTGTAGATTTGCTATTTTTAAATGCTAATTTAGCTCTTCAAACAAATTAATCGTTTTCTATGTCAACCACGCAGCCATTTACCTCTTTCTCATAGTTCAGCACAGATCTACAATAATTCAGACAGAAAAATTTCATTCATTTCATTCATTTAGAGTTTGCATCAAATCATTTATCTACTCTGATGTGTCTCCACAGTGGCTGATTGCAGCTTGGGTCCCCATGCTCTGCCTTGTGAGTGCTGCCTGGCCTGCTGAGCCCGTAGGTGCTGGTGTGTCTGTACTGGGCTGCAGCTGAAGTAGGAATACTGTGACTGGTGGTGGTGTGCTCGATTCCTGCAGTGGTGGTGGAGGCGGGTCGTCAGAGGGCCCAGAGGCCCGGTAGCAGGCGGAGGGGCCTGTCCTGTCCCAGCCACACGAAGATGAACAAACTGAACTTCCACAACAACAAAACCATGCAGGACCGCCGCTGCGTCTGTGTCTTTTTGCCCAATGATGACACGCTCAATGTCATAGTCAATGTGAGTACAAATTTAAACAGTATTTTTTGTTTCCTTTGGACCGAGCCAGGCTAGCTGTTTTCCCTTTGTTTCCAGACATGGCAAGCTTGTCAAACTAGTCCTATAATAGCATACACTATTGACCTGTAAATAGAATAAGAAATTTCCCTAACATTTTATTGTTGTTTTTTTTTTTTTTTTATGGACACATTTCTGTGAGCTTGATATAATCCAATCTTATTTCCATATTGTATAGACACCTTATTTTGAAAACCTGACATTGTCACATTTGCATCCTCCTCGCGCTAAATTCATTAAGTCCGACCCAATCTATGTTGTATGTGGTTCTCGTGTCGCATAACATGAAGACTTCACAGCGTCTCTTCAGGTAGGACTCTAACACTGCAACTCTTGTCTTTGTAAAGAGAAACTGACAGGATAAAGTCACCTGCCTGTGAGCTCAGTCCGTTTCAGTGGATTTACCATAAAGGCTGGAATATGTGTGCACTCCGAATTTATGCGTGCCTAGATTAATCGCCTTCTCACAAACGAGTGACAGAAGCAGACCGTTAACATTACAGTAGTGGTTTTCTCAAGTCGGATGCCAAAGTTTATGAACGAGCGAGCTTACAGCAGCGCAGAGCAACAGCACAAAGCACAACATTAGAGGTCTGAAACATTATTATGAGATATGTAAAACTATTTTTGGTTCATTTTGAGACTATGGCAGAGCAAATTAGACTATGGCAGGCCACCATGGTCTCATTAATTATTGGGAAACACTGTGAAGCATGCACTGTGCTGCACACGCCAGATTACATAATCACATAAGCTAACTGCTTGTGCTGGTTCATAACAACATGATATAAACCAGATATTAGCAGTGGAGTAGTGTTCTTTATGTTTGTGTTGTTTATATAATGGCTAACACATGATCTTACAAAGCTGAAAGTGAGCATCCTCCTTCTCTTCTCTCCTCCTCAGGTGAAGACCCTGTGCCAGGAACTGTTGGTCCAGGTGTGTGACCTCCTGAGACTGAAGGACTGTCACTTATTTGGACTCAGCGTCATTCAGAGTAAGACTTGTTTCAGGAATTAATTTGGTGGAAGTAACCAAATGCTCCCTGCCTATGTCTGTGAAGTTCCATATGTTGTTTTGTTGTGTGGGATACACGGTTAATCTATCTTTTAATTTTTTTTCCCGTCAGCTGAAGCAAACAGCCTTTGATTTCTGTAAACTTTCTGTCCACTTTACATCTCCTCACATTTGTAAACCACTGGAGAGTGACTATTCAGTTGTGTGGACAAAACCTTGTTTTTATTGAAAAATATTTGATTTACAAGTTTACATCATGCATGATGAATGCATTCACAAAGAGTACCTGAGCCAGATGAAAACAGTGAAACCAGGAAGTTTCTTTCCTCAGACCAATAACTTGGCTGAGAAACAGGAATCTGCCCTAAACATAGCATCTCTCACCTGTATGTCATGGTGGTCTCCCAGGAACCAGGGCCTCCTCGTCCTGACTGGCTCCCTTTGTGCAGTGAGGCTAAAGTTGTTTTTTACGGTGACGGTACAGCGAGGGTCGTACCTCTGGAATGAGTCACCGTGTCTGGACTGTGGCGAGGGAGACAGCGGGTGACAGTTGTAGGCAGCTGCAAAAGGAGAGTAAATTGCTAAGGCTGTGTTTTCAGACAGCTGGCCTCCAGATGAGCCAATGACGGCCCAGCAGGTCAATTGAGCAGGAGCCAATGGGTCTGATTGTGGGACATTCCTGAAGTTCTTGTCTGAACAGCGTGAAATCCCCACGGCAAACAGAGGCCACCCACTCCCTGTGTGTCACCCTCTGTCCCCCCTGACAAGAACGTCCACAGCGGATCTGCCACACCAGACACGGGTTCAATTATGTCTTTGTTTGCTCGCTGTTTATTTATTTCACATGAAAACAATATGTCCAGCATTGATGAGCGCAAGAATGTTTTTCTGTCTGAATATTATGAAATCACAAGGAGCTGCTAATGCCCTGGCTGTTTTAAATGGCTAGTGGAAGCACCATGGATCTGAAAATATTTGTCAATTAGTCAGGCAATAGAAAAGTAATGCAACAATTTTGAAAACAAGTTAATCGTTAAAGTAATTCTTGAAGCAAAAGTGACAACATGTGAATGTTTGCTGTATTTTTAGCCCTCTGTGAGAGTAAAATGAATATATTTGGGGTTTGCTCTGTTGGTCACACAAAAAAAGCAGACGTCATCTTGGACTCATGGAACTTTTTTATTAACCGATAATGAAAATAATCGTTAGCTGTAGCCCTGTTTCTCCGTCTCTACCCAGCCATTGCTCCACATTTTTACATTCTCCTTTGTTGTACATACATATTAGCAACTACATTGATTATGAATAAAATGGTTTAGAGTAAGCTGTTTTAAATCTTTATTCAAACTGTCAGAAATTATTTTCCTACGTCTACGTTAATTGGCAAAATATGCTATTCACAAATCACAAAAGTTAAGTTCAAGGTTCAGTTCCCTCAAATGTTAAAAACATAAATCAAAACTGCCACAAATATTTCTCAATGAAAACTTTCAACAGTGAGATCTGTGGATTAGCCTGAGCCTGCATGCTGGACATTGTTGTTTTTTCAAATGAAATATTTTGATTCTTAAAGCACCACGAACAAAATGTTATTGACCTCAATTGTATCGCGATGGCAGCAGAAGTCAACGCGGTGGAGATCTTAAATTGTCCACATATATGACCAAATCTAGCTTCATTGGAAGATACCACCATTTATTTCTTTTTGTCAACGCTGTCAAATGTCTTTACATTGATGAGAATATTCAGAACATCATAATGTGTTCCTCGTTAGAGTTTAAGCATGAGTCATAATTCAAATTTGATTTTTAAAAATGCATTGAAGTTCTGCCAGAGAGTTTCTGCTCCTGCTCTTTTTTTTATTTGCTTTTAAACGGGTTTTTATAGTATAGAAACTCAGAGTTGTCAGATCAGCAGGACTGCAGCTCATGAAAGGAATCACTTCAGAAGCAGATAAAGATGGGACAGAGTGAGGGGAAGAAATGAGAAGGAACACCAAAGGCTCTGAGTACAAAAGGGAAGTGCAGAGGTTGTCTGATGTGATGGCTCGTAGGCAGTCTTTGAACAGGGCCATTCAGGGAGGATTTCTCTATGCATACACAAACATGAAGGCACCTATACATCCTCATGTACACACACCAATGACACAGAGAGTGTCTGAGCTAAACCTGTACCTCTCCTCCTCCCACAGATAATGAACACATCTATATGGAGCTGGATCAGAAGCTATCCAAATACTGCCCCAAAGAATGGAAGAGAGAAGCCAGCAAGGTATAAAATGATGTGCTGGATGATTGATTTTCATTCAAAAGTTTAACAGTGAGCAGAGAACGTTAAGTCTCCATTTTAAGGCTGCAGTAGGCAAGTTTGTAAAAATTCACAATATTTACCAGCCTAAAGGCCTTTGCACACCAAGTCTGTATTTTTCAGATGCACTTTTTAAAATTCATCATCTGATAAAAATCACAGAAACCTTGCACGCTGAGTCTGATGCGTTTAATTATTATTATGAGAAAATATACAATACGAGACACAAGCAGTGACTGAGGATGATTTTGTGGATACCTCATCTGTCTGATGCTCCTGCAGCTCCTCACGCTGCTGTCTTTCTGTCTCCTGCTCCTTCACTTTCATCCCGAGGCTGTCACCTCTCTGCCTGGTCTTGTATTTGGCACCGTGGCTACCTAAAGGGGCTGAGCTGTCTCCACACTGTCTCTGTCCCTTTCTGTCTGTGTGCTGTCCTCATCCTCTATTTCATCCCTCACCTTATCACCATCATCCACCTGAATATCTGACCTTTCAAAAGTATAGGCTATTTGCTGACAATGCTATTGTGATGTGGGAAAAAAACATATAAATTGCAGGTGTATTTGTATATGTAACTGCGATATATGACTCATTAAAGAAAAGCCTATTCACAAGAGATGCAACAGACTAACCACAGTTAATAGATCTTTCCAGTACTTCTGTAGCACAGGCTTCAGTTGGTGAGCACATGTTTTAGTCTCTACAGTCATGATAGTATCAGAGCTGGGACCTCCAGGAAGTCACAGAGAAACAGTCTATAACCCCCCTTCAAACCACAAATTGTTAATTTTACGTTTTTGTTTATGTGTTAGATAAAGATAGTTTATGTGTTAGATAATATGTTAACAACTCAGCTTTAGAAGTGTTGGAAGACATATTTTTGAAGTAGCCAGGCTAGCTGTTTCCATCTGTTTCCATTCTTGTTGCTAAGATAGGCTAATTGCCTCAGGACTCCAGCTCCATACTTAATGTACAGACACAGGAGCTGTATCTTTTCAGGAAGCAAACAAGAGTATTTCCCAAAATGTTAAACTATTAGTTTACCATCCCATAATTTTCGATAATTGGCCTGTTTTATTTTGTTTCTAACTAGTTTGGTTACATTATGTAACCAAACTGATGTAAATAAAGCTCATCTAGAATCAGAAAACACAAATTCATATTGATATTGACTCAGCTGTTGTCTTGTATTATTCTGTGTAACGAAAAGTCATAGCCAGTTCCAATTATGTCATTTGTATATACAGTATAGTGAGACAACCTTTTTGTTTACAGATTGTTTACTGATTGTACCTGTAATCAAAATGTACTTTACTTACTTTGGAACAGCAGATGAAAATCAAGTAAACTGAACTCACCAGCATGAGATTTTTTTGCTCCTTTTAATGTCGGGATCACATAGATATATATTGATGCCAGATCAGCATAGTTGGTGAACTCTTGTGTGCTGTGTTTGCTTATGTCATGTTATGTAACACCATCATACAGAGTTTCTTAGCTGCACTATTGAGGCTTATAAGTTATAAGCCTAAAGACTTTTGCCCTACTTTTGAGCCTCTATACACTTCACCTAACTTTTATTTGTGTAGGTTTTCAACTTGTTTCTTTTTCAGGGCATCGACCAGTTTGGGCCTCCAATGATCATTCACTTCAGGGCTCAGTATTACGTTGAGAATGGGAGATTGATCAGGCAAGTAAATCCCCTCAACTGACTGTACACAACTTAGAGCTACAAGTAACATTAAATACCTCTACAAACTGCTCTAACATCACTCAGTTTAACAACAGTTAACCTATAATCCGGTTAATTTTGCTGTTTTTGTCTGCCCTGCAGTGACCGGGCAGCCAGGTACTACTACTACTGGCACTTGAGGAAACAGGTGCTGCTCTCACAGTGTATCCAAAGGGAGGAGGCCTACTTCCTCCTGGCAGCCTTCGCCCTACAGGCTGACCTCGGCAACTTTAAACGTAACAAGCACTTTGGGAAGTACTTTGAACCTGAAGCCTACTTCCCTCCATGGGTGAGTACTGTATGTGGGCTCGCATGTAAACGTATCAGGGAAGAAGAGATGATTTAAGTTGACTGACTGCACATTCCTTTACCATCCTGTTCACACCAAATCACATCTGGCTCTCCTGTCCTTCTGCAACTGCACCTGATCACATCTTGTATTAATATCACAAATAACACCTCCTCGCTTTTGTTTTTTTAGTTTAATGTGTAGAACAGTTGTTTTCATCATTGATTAATCAGCCGATTATTTTCTTGATTAGCTGATACAATGAAATTTATGGTATTTTTGTTTACTATATTTTAATTGCCTTCTGGTGCAAGGCTGCGGCATGCACAAGAAGCTTAAACGTGATGTTAAATGTTAGTAATACAGTAAACACATTACTGTATTAGACTGGTAAATCCCTCTGTGGTAAGTCTGTCTGATATTCTAGTGAGTCACAGTGAATGTGAAACATTAGTGACTGAAATAGGTCTCAGCAGAAAAAGACCAAAAAGAAATTGCTGTATCACTGACTGAGAAGCTGAAGGAAGGTGTGTTTCAGTGTCGTGGCCTGCTGTGTGTACAGTTTGTGGGTCTGTAGCCACCTTTCATTAATCACGCTGACCAAACACTTCTGAGCACGAGGGATAATGAGAACTGGGACACTACGTTTATTTTTGTCCCTGGAAGTAGCACACACACTGTATTTTTGTTTTGTTTTTTTTTATCTTGAGAAATGGTCCGGCTGACATGGCTGTCCTAGCCACACTGGCACCCATCACCACCATCCTCCACCTCACTGGCTATGACAGCCACACCCTGTCTGATTGCCCTTCACTTCCTGTAATTAGCCTCCTGCTTCCTTATCGCCACTCGAAACCAGCAGTGACAGGAAATTGTTTGATGATGAGCGTTAGCAACACAGTAAATCTCCCACAGATTTAGGTGCTTAGAAAGCTTACTTACAAAATCTTCAGAAGCCACATGCAAAGTTTAGCGAGTGTGTTTTCCGGTGCCTCTGACATCTGTTTGCCCTGCAGCAGGGAGCTTCATTACCCTCACTGGCAACCTGTGCTGCCAGTCTGCTGTAATGAGTCTGTACAACTTCAGGGCGGCCAAGCCTGACATTTCCCTCTTTCTCTCCCCGCTCAGGTGATAACCAAGCGTGGCCGTGAGTACATCCTGAGGCATATCCCGAACATGCACAAAGACCAGTTTGCTCTCACTGCTTCAGAGGCGCACCTCAAATACATTAAGGAGTGTGCCCAGCTTGATGATGTCACTGTCCACTACTACAGACTCTACAAGGTGAGACATGGGACTATTTCCAGGACACAGGATCGTACAGATGCTACAGTAGATGTCTTTTCCAAAACGCATGGTGTTATGCTGATAAATCTCTTTGTGCGGATACCAGTACAAATTCTGTTGCTTTGCTGGTTTTGGGTTTGACTAAGGAAGCATTTGATATGAAACCAGATGTGACTTGGACTTCATCATATATATATATTTGATCTTTTTCAACAGGACAAGAAGGAAGTAGAGGCATCTCTTACGTTGGGACTGACTTTACGTGGTATCCAAATATTTCAGGTATTCCACATTTCTGATTGAAGGTTGCGTCTAATGTTTAAGATTTTCACATTGAAATTGATTGCTGATTAGATGTTGCTGTTTTGCTGTTTGTTTCCTGATTGATGTATTCCAAATTTCTGAAAATACTACAATATTTCATCTGTTGTATTTGAGTCTTAAAAGTTTTTTTTTATGTGAAAAAAATCTGCCATTGTCAAATTATTTTAACCTCTTTTAAGAATCTTCTAGTCTCTGTTTTATTTTATTGTAATATCTTCATATATCTAAAAATTTACATATTTAAGATGTCAACATAGTCCCTGGATAATACCTAAAATAAGTAGATAGTTGACATAAACAAGTAAAAAAAATCTTACCGCATTGGCAGATTGTACACAATCAATCGATTGACTTTAAGAGCTGAATAATATATCAAAGTTACTTCTAAAGATGGAGATTTTTTTCAGTGTGGTGCAGCAGCTACTGTTTCTTTGTTGAATTTTAATCAGCTGAGATGTATCATCGTACCTGTAATTATTGACTTCATGTGTCTGTGCTTCTGTGTTGCAGAATGTCGGGTCCGTGAGGCAACTGTTGTACGACTTCCCCTGGACCAACGTGGGAAAACTTGTATTTGTGGTGAGTCAGATGCACCATCACAGCTTTTTTAGCTATGATGGTGCATAGCCCAGAGAAATATTTTTCAAAGGTACCGTATTTTGTTATTTGTTTTTTTTCCCACTCATTCCAGCGATGACGAAACCCAAGCATCCCCTGGCTTATTGCAATGTTTTTGAAAGCCCAGCTCCAGCTCGGGGTCGTGGAAATTTTTACGCAAGGCTTCTTTTCTCCACACTGCTGTTTTATCTTAGCCCTGCAAGTCCTGGAACTAATCAGGGATTTAGACTTTTCTTGCAGTGTGCAGTGCACACACATAGACAAAGTATACTGTATACATATTTTCATCATCAGCAGCAGCATTTTCTCTTATATGATATACATGATTCATTTTATTAATTATCACTAGTGTCCCTGTGCTTCTCATCTGTGCTCTGAGTCAGCCTGTCGTTAAGCTGATCACAGTTGTCGGTTAATTTGCTTCCATAGGGTTTCTGTTATCGCAGGAAGGCCAAGAAGCTTACTATATATCTGTTTGACTGTGACAGCTTCACGTTTCCTGCCAGTCGGCTATTACTCACAATTCAGACTGCTGTTGCACAAAAACGAAAACGACAACTCTAATTCTGGCTACTTCTTTATTTTTATACAATTGAAGGGACTTTATATGCAGGTTTCATGACTGTAAGGCCCCTGAGAAACTTGCTTTGTTGTCCCAAAAAGTTGATGGTTTTGTTCCAAGAGTAGTGAGTTTTTGCTTTGGCCTAATTTTGGTGCAAACATTCGCTGCATATGCGTCTGTTCACCGTCAAGACATCCTGTTTTCCTCAGTCCTGTCTGCAACGTCGTGAGAGTGGCGTGGCTGTGGTTTCACTGTGGACGTGAAGTGCCTCTTGTGGCCCTGTCCCACCCTTCTCCAGAATAACAGGCTTTCTCCTCCACCCCACCCACGAGTCACGTCATCCAACACTGCTGCCACCACGGCTGCAGCTAAGGCCAAACGAGCCAGAGTGCGGAGCAGGGCGGAGGGACGTGTGGGTCAATAAACACCAGATGTTGCAATGGTTTCGGGGGTATTTTCTGTTCAGGATATTGGCAAGGATGACTTTAGCTCGTCTTTTTATCAAGGTTTAAAGGAAGGACGAGCGTGTTTCTGTTCATTGTTAAAAAATAGTGTAATTCAATGTTTCTGACGCATTAATGCTTCTCCTGAGCCTATGAGAGTTTGATCTACTCCCCCTCAAAGCTGAAAAGAAGTTTTCACATCGTGTGCTGCAATGTGGGTTCTGAGGCTCTGTTCGACCTCCCAGCACTCTGGTTGATGCTGGTCGGGCCGAGGGATTGGGAGTTTTCGATGTGTGTGGCCTGATTGGGAGGAATTGTTGGAAGGGGGAGAAAGCTGCCCTAAGCAGAGAGTGTAGATGGACTGACCATGTGTACGGCATGAAACAAGAAACTTTTCTAAGTGGAGTCTGAATACCTTTAAAAACTTGACACCAGGCTGCTGCTGTGTTTAGGTCTGGAATAGAGTTACCACCAGCAGGGAAGCCATTGATTCAATAGGTTTGGATTTTGCATTGTCTATTTTAAGTAATCCCCTCTCACACTCTTGATTGCTTTTCTCAGTATATGTAGCAGTCAGGTTCTTAGATGTAGGTATTGCAATGAACTAATATCATGTTTTACAGGTGTCTAATTGAACCTTTTGATAAGGTGGGAAAAAAGTTCATTAAAAAATTAAAAAACAACATTATTTCCTTACATTTCAGCTGTGTAAACAACCGCTGGCTTTGTAATCGCTGTACAGGACGGCAGTAGCTCAGTCCGTAAGGATTAGGCTAGTTCGGACCAGAGTTGCGGAGCATGGACTGGTAGCTGGAGAGCTGCCAGTTCACCTCCTGGGCACTGCCGAAGCAAGCCCCTGAATCCCCAGCTGCACCGCACTGAGTGGCAGCCCCCTCACTCTGACATCTCTCCGTGTGTTGCTATGGGTCCTGTTTGTGTCTTACGGGCCGGTGTGTAAAAATACTAACATAATAACAGAGTGAAAACATTGAGTTTCCCCTTGCAGGATTAAATAAAGTATATCTTCTTCTTCTTCATTCAGTCACACATGTAGAGATGCATACAGCAGCATTTTCAAACACTGACAGAAATCCACAAAGTGCATTGCTTTCTAGAAATTAGTGTTTACCATGATGTCAGAGTTTTGTCAAGACTGAGGGTGAGACAAAATTTGACGGAGGAAGCTGCCTCGTAATTCCCTACCCTGTTCTAGTAACTAATGCAGCATGGTTTTCCAACGACTTTAGACAAAAAAAGAGATTGAGGTAATTGTAACATTCATGTCATGTGGGATGGATGGGAGAGATAGGAAAGGTTTCCATGTTTACGACTTACAAATGTTTACGATGTCTGTACAACTCAAGACGGTTGTATGACTGCAGAATCAGTTGTGTGAAGGTTACAAATACTGTGCTTTGAATATAGCACTATATCCATACAATGTGGGTGTAATTAGGTCTGGACAATGAAACAATGAAACAATAAATATAGCAATATAATTTTTTTCAATAACAATATAACAAATGTTCAATAAATATTCAATAAATGTTTGATTTTATTACATGAATTAGGACATTATGTTATTAAGATGTTTATTTTGTTGATGAAAAAAACAGACAAAAGCATTAAACTTAATTTGGCTTGTGCATATTTGTTGACAAAGATTTTATCATAATTGTTTTGAATGTTTTGCCTCAGATTTGTGAAGTGATCCAGTGTTTGGCATCAATAATAGTTTAAACCACAATTAATCATCAGGTTTCTTCAACTTTCACTCAGGAGCAAAAATCAGCCTTTAAACTCAAAAGAAATAACTATTTGATACTTATTGTGATAATTATCGATATCGAAAGAAGAAACTTTTTATTGTGATAAACTTTTTGGCCATATCGTCCAACCCTAGGTGTAATTAGCTTAAATGATTAACTGTAGTGCAAAAACTCAGAACATCTGATCCTATATGGAAATAAGAAACAGAGTATCTTCTCTTTTCATTTTGTAATATCAAAAATATGTTGTTTTAACAGTACTAAGGCTCCTCAACATCGGTCTTATATCCCTGGAACACAGACACTCTACTTTATTCTTTATGAGTAGAGTAGTACCACTTATAAGGTCAAATATAGTATGTCTGAACTCCTCCTGAAAGTAACAGCAACATCTACAGCATGCCTGACTAAGACATGTTGTAAATAAGCCTTTAAATAAAAGAAACGAAAGCCAAGCAATAACAGCACAGGGTACAAACAGTTAAGATCACCAGGGAGATTTCATGCAACAGTAACCTGCTTTGCCTCACACAGTTTGGCTCATTCACACTTACTCGTTGCCCAGTACGATTTCAGTGTTTTACTGGTGGCCACTGGGAGCTGCAGAAGGGCAGTTTGAGGTTAAAGACAAATATTCAACTTGAAGAATGGAAGAGAATTTCTCCTTCATTTTCCCATCCAGAGTTTTCCTGCAGGTCCAAGGATTTGAACAGAAAGTCTTTCAGCCTTAAGGATACCTCTGCACAGAGAAAATGATCTTTTATAGGAAAGCCACTGTCAGTGAACTGTCATGGTATTTATGAATTCATATCCCTACAGTAATGTACTTCCCACCTTTAAGCATACTTAGATTAAGCTGGTTTCTTTTTTTAAAAAATCTGGAAAAATAAAAGTGAAAGCCTGTGGTCAGAAATGTGCGTCTCTTTTTCCAAGGCTTTAAATCCGCCCGTCGTCTTTGAAACCTAACCCTTGCAGAAATGTTTATAGGTCTGTATTGAAAACAACCCCGCTGACACTAACGACAGCTGTTATTGGGTCAAGCCTTCGCCAGAAGGCGCAGGAGAAAGCACAAACCCACCATTTTAGTTTTTCCGTGCATTCAGCCAACATGTCCCCTTCCTGGAAAATCATCAAAAATGCTCTAGAATGCTTTGTTTCAGTGTCTGAATGAAGAAATGAAGAACAGATACATGAACTGATTGTTGCATTGTGTTTAGCTAAAAAAATAAGAACAAGAACAGGCTTCATTCCTCCTCTGCGGTTTGCCTTCAGGGCTTTCTGGCATCATAATTCCAAATCTACATTCCTACTTCATTATTTTATATTATTAACTGCCATAAATCACACTGTCCTGTAATCAATGTTCATGTGCTGTCTTCTTTTGTCCTTCTCCTTCCGCTCTCTCAGGGTAAGAAGTTTGAAATCCTTCCTGACGGTCTGCCCTCGGCCCGTAAACTCATCTACTACACAGGTTGTCCCGTGCGCTCTCGCCACCTCCTGCAGCTGCTCAGCAACAGCCACAGGCTCTACATGAACCTGCAACCTGTTCTTAAACAAGTCCGTCGGTTGGAGGAAAATGAAGGTATTTTCCAACAATTGTGTATTGTTCTTTCACTTCTTTTGTGTGCAAAAACGCAATAACATGGGATTTGTAAACCTTAACCCTTTCAGTGATGGTTGAGCTTGAGCAGCTACTTTGTCAGAAATGCAACAGAGGGACCATTAACTTTCTGGCATCTCTGCAGATTTACTTATATAAATTTATATATACTTTACTTATATTTATTTATTTATATAACAAAACAAAAATTCAATAAATGTTCAAAAATAGTTTGATTTAATTCATTTGAATCACGAATGAATTAGCACTTCATTTTTCTATTATTGTTTCTTTTGTAGAGGAAAAGGGACTGAAAAAGATTTTACTTAATTTTACTAATGCATATTTTATAATACTTTTTTTTTTAATGTTCTGCCGCAGATTTGTTAAGTCATCCACTGCTGGCATCAAGTGTTTGTCATGACCATAAAGAATAGTTTAATTTACCATCTGGTTTCTTCAAATTTCACCCAGGAGCAAGAATCAGCCTTTAAACTTGAAAGAAATAATGATTTGGAATTTATCTTGATAATTATCATTATAAAATATTTGGCCCTACTTTGGACAGAAACCAGTCTTTTTCCAGTCTTTGTGCTAAGCTAAGCTAACCTGGCAGCTCCTGGCTGTAGCTTCATATATTATAGACGGATATGAAAGTGGTATCCATCTTCTCATCCAACTATATGCCAATACTTTTGCTTAGAGGGTTATAAAAGTTATAATTTTATTTTAAGGATTTTAAGGATTTCAAGTTTTTGCACATACAAATAACATAACTAAATCCGTCTATGTTTGGCTGATTCCAGAGAAGAAGCAGTACAGGGAGTCGTACATCAGCGATGCTCTCGAACTGGACATGGAGCAGCTGGACAAACGTTCCCGAGCCAGCGGCAGCAGCGCAGGGAGCATGTCTCATCACAAACGTCTGTCCCGCCACTCCACGACCAGCCACGGCAGCTCACACACCTCTGGGATCGAGACGGACAGCTTCAGGGCCCCCGGTCAGGCCCCACACCGGGCCCTACGAACCTGCAGCTCATCCACAACCAGCCATGGGAGCTCACACACTTCTGGCATCGAGAGCAGCGGCAAGGAGCGCATACTAGATGATGATGGTAAAAGTGGAGAATTTGTTATATCCAAAACAATAGACATACACATTGAGAAGAATAATAGAATAGTAAAAAATAAGACATCAGGGTGTTTTAACTGATTTTAAAATAGATATTAAGGACATCAACATTTCTTATGAGTAATAGTATAAATATGATAGTGATACTATGTTGTTCTCAAAAAGACTAGAAAGGCGCTATACAAGTACGGAGCATTACATTTACATCAATTCATTGTACTTAGTGTTTAATAACATTTCCCACATCAATGATACAACTTGCATCCATTTCATGATATTATTTCATTTGCATGTCTAAAAAAATCTACATGAAATGATGTATTTGACATTTGTGTCTGCATCTTCAGTAGTTTATTCAAATAAACACAATAAGAAGTGGCTGATTAGCGTCTGTAAACAATAACCACAAAAGCTAATCAAAGAAAGTTACAGTAAGAAACTTACACTCACAGCTTGCCAAGTGAGTTCTGGGACTAGATTAAGAGTTAAAAGTTGCTTGTATCTTAGAGATTTAGTTATGAGTTGTAATAAATCTAGGCAACATTTGTTCCTTCAGAGATTGAGATGCTGGTGGACGACCCTAAAGACTATGAGGAGCTTCATGAGATGGCTCTGGACCAGGAGCTGTGTATCCACATCACTGAGGACATGTTGACCATGTCACCTGATCAGACCAACGGATACTCAGGTACAGATGCTGTCTCACTGTTTTTGCTCATTTTACAGAAACATGTAAACCCAGGGTGAATTATTTCTTTATCTGTGAAATCATTTTTACCACCAAACAAGTCCTCACATTGAGCCGCAGAGGCTGATGAAGAGTTGTTTCATACTGTAGCTAAATTTTATCATTCGTTCTCTCCAGGACTGATAGTAAAAGACGTCAGCTCCTCCACGTCCAGCTCCTCTGAGACCGTCGTCAAGATGAGAGGACAGAGCATCGAGTCTCTGCCACAGGTAATTCAGATTTAATTCATGGGTTTCACAGCACTATGTGCACTTGCATTAGCACAATACACAATACATGACAACATCCAAAGGCACCAAGTAATGCTTAGAGAAATCCATTTAAGAAAATGCACTGTGGTAAAAAGAAAAAAAAATTGGGATCAGATAATCTAATTTGTAGTGATGTTAAACAGTTGTTTGAGAGATGCTTCTTAGGAAATGTATTGGAGCCATGGCTTACATCTTTTATATATTTTTCTCAACTGGAAGTTAAAAAAAAAACTTCCACACTGTCGTTACTGCTTTGCATACATAAAAGAAAGGATTGGGGAGTCACAAAGTAACGCAGGATTTATACTTGACTCCTGCTATATAGTTACAGTGGATGAGGCATGTGTCAGCTGAGCTGTAACATGTTAATGCAGAGCTATAAATCCATCTTAAAGCACAACTACAATAGAGGACAGTATGACTTAAAAGGGACTCCTGGACAATATTCCATCAGCGACTAATGATAATTAACTTAGTAAAATATTTTCACAGCTGACTTTTCCTTTTAAGTCGTTTGCGTTTTTGTTCGCTCATAGCTTTTTTTTCCATAATATTAGATTTGTTGCTTTCCACCTACAGACATCAGCATGCAGGAAGCCTCAGTCTTCGACTGACCGGCACAGCCAGTCTCTTGACGACATCCGGCTCTACCAGAAGGACTGCCTGCAGTGGGCGGAGCTCTGCCAGGACACCGCCCACAGCTACACATTCGGCTGTGCTCAGGAGCTGAGTGATGGCAGCGGAGGCTATCAGGGCCTCGCCGATCAGCGCACCAGCGTGCTCACCGAGCAGCACCCGTTTCCCATCAAGAGAACCAACAAGTACTTTTCCCTGGATCTGACCAGCGATGAGGTCCCCGAGTTTGTGGTGTGATGGACACGCAAACAAGGCAACCTCAGGGTGACCGTTTCGCTCCACCGTGTCAGATGTGGAGATGTTTCAGCCCTCAGGGAATGAGACAAGAGATGGATTGGAGGTGGATTCTATTCTTGGCAGCGAACAGCAGTGTTGAGTAAACTGGCAGCAAGTTGACTGTCCCTTCACTTACCACTTCAGATGAATTACACATAATAAACGAACAAACACAGGGGGATGTGGCTGAAAAGGGAACATCAAGACAAACACTTTGTTCAAGAGAACCTGTGTCTTTCAAAGATAACCCGAGCTGCTCCCCCTGTGTGAAAGGAAACAAAAGGGATCGTGTCTTCTTTTAAAAAACATTTTTATTCAAATCTGTCCCCTTCAAACTGGTTTCAAGAACCACATGTTGCGTTTGCCTGCTTTATAAAGTCATAAAAAGACTGTGTGCATGCACGTAGGCTTACAGCAGACAGAGACTCATGCAGACATGAAGAGCATATCAAAATTTTTCTCTGGAGGACACAGTGGATAAAATCACTCTGAGCTACGAACCAAAGACAAGAAATGGAAATAAACTGAAATGACATGTCCAACTTATTCTCAGTGTGCAGCCCTGACAAAAACATTAAAGTCATGGTGGGAGATTAACCCATAATCCTTTGAGAGAAAGCAGCCTTGTTTTTTCCCTCTGTCTTTTTCTATGCCACTTCATTTTACCTCAACAAGTGCAGTGTGCCAACCCGCCCCCTACCCAGACTGGATTCTTAATCATGTGAACACACACCCAATGTGCCTTCATCACACTATGCAGGAGTCAAACCCTCGCCTTGACAATCACACACTCTCACTTTAGTCATTTTTAAAACCCTCAGAATTCAAAGCTCTACATTATTTTTAAACATTGTACACCCACTTCTTTATCAGACCAGGCCGGTTTTTCAGCATCTTAAACGTTAAAAAGACTCGATTTCAAACTGTTTTCATTTCCTGTGAAATCCGATCATGTTTCCTGGAAGGAATGAAGTCAAGTAGGTTACTACATGTCCTGACTTGCGTTGAGTTTGTGGCCACAAAAGCTTTCCAGTAATCTAAACCCAAAATGGAGCCCCGTTGGCAGTTGGCCAAAACAAACAGTACATTTTGATGCATACATGTACATCTCCCTTTCTGCTCAGTTTTATTTCATTCTTGTTTTTTCCTGTTTCGTTTCATCTATCGTTTTAAACTGGAATTTGTTACATTTTTTTATTTTTCATCTTCTCGTTTTGCCTAAAATCACTTGTGTATTTTTGTATGAACTGTCCATATGTGTGTATGTTGGACAATTTATTCTGCGTGTGGTTGATTTAATTCAGTATTACAAGCAAATGTATGTGACAGTATTAAGGACGTGTGATGTTTGTAGCTCGGATCAAGAAAGACTGGTTTTTATCATCATTAGAATCTTGTGGTAAGATTCAAAGGACTGAAGCCTGTGGTAGCTGACATGATGTGTTATATGCTGTTATTTCTCATAAATCACATCTCAAATTTCAGCTGGTGTGAATGAGGACACAAGGTTGTTTTAAGTTATAACCACAAATAAGGTGTTTTTACTTGTAAATCATGCAGCTAAAATTCAAAGGGCCACAGTTACAGCTTTGTCTGAATTAAAATAGTACTGTAATGCTTTTTTAAAGATACGACCATAATATTTTTAGCTTCACTGTGGTGAAAACACTACTCACGTACTCATGTTTGAATTAGGTGGAAAAAACTGCCTCATAAACTTTATCATGACCACAGAATTACATTTTGGTTCAAGAGTAAACTCTTAAGATTATGAAATTTACATTAAACTTTCCAAGTGGTTGAAATGATCCTTTAAGCTATTGAAAAGCACCAATGAAAAAGACAGAAAAGAAAAGAAATATGCCAAATACTATTTGTTGCCAAGAGTTAGATGATGAAGTATGTATTTACTCTAAATATGAGGCTACAGCCGAAAAACGATTATCTTAGCTTACCATAAAGAAATGGGAAAACAGCTCGCCTGGCTCAAACCGAAGGTAACAAAATGAGCCTACTAGCACATCTAAAAGTCACTAATTGCCACCTGATACCTTGTTAACTGTTATCTGTATAAAAACCAAGGTGTAGAAAATTATGGGCTATTTATTGGCCCTGACAAGTATTTCCCATCGTAAAAACACATGTCGTTTCCTCACTTTGGTGTTTGTACAGACAAACAAGACGTAACGTGTTAATAAGTGAAATTTAAAAGTTGCTGGCAGGTGGATTTTGATTTCATTGGACAGAGCCAGACTAGCTGTTTTCTGCCATGCTAAGCTAACCGGCTGCTGGTGGTCAATCATCAAAAATTAACAACAAATCACGTGATAACAGTCAAAACTCCAGCTACTTTTGTTTATACGTAGCTGAGCTGTATGATGTCTAATTGTGTGTCTGTGTGGCTGTAATCATTTCCAAACTCATACAAGACTTAGTTACAGTCATTTTAGATCCCCGTTAGATTTTGTTTTTTGTGATCCCACTTCAAACCCACAGTTTTCACATACTGGCAATACAGCATCTGAACAAGGTTTTTATCAAATACATTTATGTAATACATAACAAATACATGAATATGATACTGCTATGTAATTAAAAACAATGTCTGTATTTCTTACAGTTTTTTTTCTTTCACTGTTTTAAGCTCATAAGTATTTCTTCTCATTAATGGAAAATGTCTAAAGTCGTATTTTGATGGACAATGATGTTTCTTATATTAAAACAGTATGTGTTAAGGTACATAGCCATACAGTCATAATCCATGTCCTTAAGCCCTTTAATTAGTTTGTTCTTCCTTTTCTGACTTCAATATATGGTCATACTTACACGTAAGAGTCTGTATGTCTGTGTCTATAGTCCTTTCTGTGAAAGGATCTCCAAAAATGAAAGATTTCTTTTTTTTTTTGTCACCCTGTAATTAAAAAAAAATTATGTTGTATGTTATGAAGTCTGGTCTGTGCCTTCTTGGTACTAATGCCCTCAATATCCAATAAAAAGGTACATTTATTTGCCAAAGTTTTGCTGTTTTATGGTGATTTCAAAGTGGTGCTAAGTTTCAGTTTATCATCTTTTTAAGTTTGCAAAAAGGCGATATAACAATAGAATATATAGAAAGTACTGTGAGTTATAGAGAAAACAAAAGGTTCAGTTTATTGGCCTCTACTGAGGAAGCTGTTTTCTCACCAACAACAAATATAAATTGATATCAATTAATTCATATTAAAACTACCGTAAAATATGGTAATGTGGGTTTCAGATAATATTTATATGTGGGTCCAAGAGTAGGTACTCTACCCAAAATGTTAGTTTGTGCTGCCCTCTGGTGTTAACACACTTTCATGTAATTATCGGTGTGGCCTCCTGCAGGTGGCGGTATTGTCTGACACATGAGACACCAGAAGGCCTGTCCGTTGTTCTCTTTTCTCCTAGACTCTGTGCCCTCTAAAATTCATGTATCAGCTCAGCCACATACACTTTGTCAAAAAGCAGAACATTAGTTATATGAATACACGTGTTTTAACTACTAGGACATTGGAAACAATGTGGTATAATAAATAATCCATTTCATTGTTATTTATAAAGCAGCAATTCATTACAGAAGTTATCTCATTGCAATTTTCATAGAGCAGGTCTCGACCATACTCTTTGTAACCATAAACATAATAACAACAAAGGACACGTCTGCGCTGTGGGAGCATTTTTTTTAACACAGAATAACTGTTTTAAAATGTTATAACAGTTATAACAGCTTTCAGAAATCAAAAATACTTTATTGATCCCCGAGGTGAAATTCTTGTGTTACAGTTGCACACATTGGACATCAAGGCATAAGGAATATAAATATTAATAGAAAGAAGGTAGATAAAGAAATATATAAATATAAAGACATAAATATAAAATATAAAGAAAAATATAAGTGTGAATATGTACAATAGTTACATTATTAAAAACAGGGCTTAAAGTTCTCCCGCGCTGTGCCGGAATTCCGGCGCGAGGCGTTTTTGTATTCGACAATATATAAATATGTCAGTGGAAAATATTTTTGCGTATTTTTTCTGTCGCGTGTTAGGTGTGCGAGTGCGAGACAGTCTTCCTCTGCTCAATTGGTGGCTCGGGCCCAATCCTAATGTCCCCCCTAAGCCCTAAACCCTGAACCCTCACAGATTTTACTGACATCACTTGGAAAGTGATTGAGTTTAAGAGGCTACAAGGGCTAAAAATGCAGTAAACAGGAATGGGACAGCCCTTTGCCACTTTATCACGTTACCTTGAGGACGCTGAAACACGTTGCACACTTTTTATTTTATGTTTTTGCCTTATTTTTAAGTCCTGCAGGCTCTCGCCCTACAGAGTGGAGGAGAGGTAGTCTAAATGTCAATATATATTTGTAATTAATCAACACACTATTGTTGGTCAAATAGCATCATTAAGCAAAAACTAAAATAAATTGTTGAATAAACTAAATGTGTAATAAGGTGATTGCATTCCTCTGACTTCATGTGTTCTATGCACCATCTTAAGTTAAGAAAACTTTCAACAATATTAACATCAGCGTAGGGGTCGATTCTTGTTTGTTTACTGTTTTCTTCTTCTCTTATAATGCGGTTTTGCAGTGATACTTCTCTCTCTTCCGGGCTTCCCCTGGTAACCACAGGTAGAAGCTCGGTGCCTTTCATGCAGCCCTGTGCTCCCATGTGAATGGGGAGTACCAGCAGGGCTGGGCAACAATCAAATACCATTTTAAATAGGCACAGTAAAAAAAACAATGAAAATCAATATGTAGCGTCAACATTGATATTGTGGCGGCCGCCACAAATAAATTAAAGTATGGGAAACACTGGATCCACTGTTTGGCAAAAAATAGTTTAAAACCACAATTAGGCCTAATCCATCTGGTTTCTTCAACTTTCACTCAGGAGCAAAAATCTGCCCTATAATGATTTGACATTAATCATAAGAATAATCGATTTTGAATGATGTGAAATGTTTTATCAACATTTTCAGCCATATTGCCCAGCACCTATATTTTCCACTTCAAGCACTGATTATAGGTGGTGGCAGAAAATGTTACCAGAATGCAGGAAATGAACTGTTTAATGCTCAATATTTTTCCACATTGAACGTTTTATCAAACCAGTGTACAATTATCTTTTTGGCTTTTTCTTGTAAACCCAGAATTGTGTTTCTTCGTGTTTCCTGAGCCAAGTGTATATCAGAACCCTAATCTGAGTCCCTCTGTCCCCTTCAGTTTTCAACACAAAGTTATGCTCTTGCCCCCCACCCTCCATCTTTCGTAAACCCCGAACACATTTCAGGTACAGAAATATTTCTTGCTTTAAGCCTTGTAAAGAATTGTAATGGAGAACAGTAACAGTGAATAAATAGCAGCAGAATAGCAGCAGAGAATATTGCACATACATTTTTAGACAGATAATACCGCACAAAAATAGATAATAATGTCCAGTAACTAATGCGTTTGTCAGAGACTTAGAGGGAGGAGCTATAGAGCTTGATGGCCACAGGCAATTCTTATAACTTAATACTGGTAAACTGACAGAAGTTATCTGTTTCCTAGCTGGACCTTGCCCTGAGCTGAACTAAAAGCCTTCATCCATCCTCCTCATCATCTGTTAAATCTACTTCATAAATCCAATTTGGCACTTGACTCTTGAACAGCATGTGAAGCTCAGCAGAGGGACAAACTCAGACTCATTGTGTCTCAAACTGAGATGGAGATGATTATTTTGTGCTTTTATTTCATCCTGCCCCTACAGTTTATGACCGGCTATAGCAAGCTCATAGGTCTAATAAGACACTGATCTTTCTTTACAACACAAGAGCAGTTTCTTTCAACAGGCCAACACTATGATAAACAGCTGAATAAGTCATATAGTGTCAAAACAAACCCTGTAACATTAAAACATCCACTTGCAAACATATAATAAATTATTTATATACAGTTTAAAATACACAATGTGCATTAACATGTACCATCATCCCTGTCAAATATAAATCATCCACACCTCTGTATAAACATGTTTACATACTGTATGTAACTTATGACAACAAATATTTCTTTGCAGTATTTGTACTTGTTTAATTACAGAAATACTTGTACAGACAGATACATTTTAGTGTTGTTGGTCATTGTTGCTTTATATATATATGTTTATATGTATACACCTATTTTTCACATACTTGCATGTAGAATTGTTTGTATTTTATGTCCTATACTTGTTTTTGTTTTTTGGCTATGAGTCTATTTCCGAATTCCTTGTATGTGTAGATATACTTGGCCAATAAAGCTGGTTCTTCAAAATCAAAATCGAAATAAACTAGGCTTATCATCTAGGATGGATCCCAACTATTTATACCGATCTGTGAACAATTGATCGTAAGAGAAAGACAATAAAACTCCTGTGCCATTTAAATATTAGGGAAACAAATGGTAACATAAATGTTAAGCTTATGTTAAGATTTACTATTTGGGGTCATTTACCAAAACAAGTAGCCATAGAAGTGTATAAATCAGTGAAAATATTATGGGAAATTTGTAAAAACTACAAAACAGAGAGAGAAACCATTGTGTAACCAGGACAGTTAAAGCAAGAGAGCTATATGAAGTTAAAGTTAGCTAGCTGATGATATAGCCACAGCTAGCTAAAATAATAATATATACTTATTGGGTTTCCCTTAGCTGTAATCTGTTATTTAACAATGCATTTTATTGCATTTTACTTATTATTCAATATAACTAAATGAAGCAGTAGCAAAGTCCAATCATGATCGTGGGGAAAAAAACATAGCGTTAAACTCCTGCTAAAGCTAACTAGCTTAACGCTAGCAGAGTAACTGTGATCTCAGCTTTTGACTCAAGTGGAATATATATATGATCTGGTGGCAAAGCTGCCATTAAATTAATTAATTAAAATAATCTACAATTTAATACATTTAATCAATATAAATGCATTCAATTGTAGATTGATCTTTTATTTATGTCAGTGTTAATATTAATATAGGAGAGTGACAGATCAGCAAAGTACAAATTATAGTCAAATAACATTTATTTTCTCTAACAAACTTGTTTAAATGGAAAAGAAGGCCGAAAGAAAACAGTGTATTGGTATATTTTGCATTTCCCTTTGCATTCTGTGAAAATTATTCAAAGTCACACTCTGATCTTTTTACTATTTCAAAAAAAATCCAACGACACAAGACAAAAAGCCACTCGTGCAACATCCAGGCAGAAAAGAAACCTAATCACCACAGATAGCCTCATAGTTTAAGAGAAAAAATGGATGCTTTCCTCACTGAGCTCCACCTCCTTCCTCCACCACACAGATAACGCCGTGTCCCCCTCTCTCTCTCCCCTCCAAGCTCCACAGCTGTACAGGAAATCAGTCATCCACCATCCACTGCTGTCGCCATGGCAACACAGAGGGGGAAATCCATTCTCTGTCACCGCCACCGCCTCCCCCTGCACCCTCGCATCTCCTTTCTTTTGTCTTGTTGAATTATTAGGTGTAGCTCTGTTCACACCATGTTCATGCATTGTTTTTTTAAATTAAATACAGGCGAGGTCATCATTTGCTGACCTTGATCATGCTCCTTGTGTTTGATTGATGAATGGGGGGGTGGGGTGGGGTGATTTGATTGATTCCCCATCTTACAGTGTTCTTTCTAGAGGTTTCTCCCATTTACACACGTCTTATCGCCTCCTCTGTGTGTGTGTTTGTGTTGACAATCATTTTAGCCGATTGTTTGAGAGTATTAGATGACAGTGTGTCTCAGCAGCAGTGCTGACCTCTCCGTAAATCCCATGGGGCATTGGGACAGAACAGGCTGGGCAGCTCTGCTCGGCTAGGGCCAGCAGCTGCCTGGAGGAGCCAGATGGTCGCAAATCAGAATTGAAATCCAGGCCCCTCCCCCCGCCAGTCGTGATAACCCCACCTCTCGTGCTCGCACTCACACACACACACACACACACTAATATAAACACTGCTCGCACAGGATCATTCATGCATTCTTCGCTGTCCTCCCTCTCACCCAAAATCTTGTTTAATGTGGTAATTTTTTTACCTAAATTACAATCAGCCTTTTAGGTTAAGAAAATTTTACAATACAATTGGGCTCATACAACACATAAATTGCAGTCAATATGAATCCAAGGCAGGTTCTCCTAGTTACTGAAATAAATAATGTAATTCAGCTTCACCCTTTTGTAAAACAGTACTTATAGTATTTATTGCAGTAGAAATGGCATATTAAGTCTGCAAGTCACCACATCGAAATGGGCAGATGTAGTGACTTGCAGACTTAAAATGGATGGATTAACAGAACGTAATAAACCGGCCTATTAACCAAAACAGCTGCACTGACACTACAAGCTTCAGAGATGATCCCCAGAGCCGATAATAAAACATAGTAATCAGATTATACATAAATAGATCTCTAGTTCTAGCTCTTCTCCAGTGATGGAGAGAGGAAGGGGTCCCACTGTCTCTTTTCTCTGTCTCTTCTGAAAACTATTTAACAAGTGAGCAGAGAAGTTGAAATAGCTAAATGTTAAGGATAGCGGTTGAAATTGTTAACGAAGCCTAGGCTAATGGATAAACAGTTGAAATAGCTAAAAGTAGGCTAATGAACAAACTGTTGAAATAGTTAGCTAAAAGTATGCTAATAAAGGAACAGTGTAAATATTTAGCTACAATTCATGAATAAACCTTTGAAATATTAAAATTAATGGGTGAGCAGTTGAAAGAGTTAGCTAAAAGTGGCCTAATACACCAACTGTTGTCATTAACGTTAGTGAGCTAACGTAAGGGATAAATTGTCAAAATATTTAGCTTTAAGGATAAACAGATGACATAATTAACTCAAATTAATAGATAAACAGTGCAAATAGTAACCAAAATAAGGGCTAAATAATTAAAATAGTTATCTAAAAGTAATGATAAACTGTTAAAATGGCTAAACGTAATGGATGAATGGTTTAAATAGTTAGCTTAAAGTGGGCTAATAGATGAACAGTGTAATTATTTAGCTTAATGTGATGAATAAACTGTTAAAATATTAAAACTAATGGGTAAACGACAGTTGAAATTGTTAGCTAAGAGTGGGCTATTGAACCTACTGTTTAAATAGTTAGCTAGAAGCAATGGATAAATGGTTAAATAGTTATCTCAAATTAATGGATAAACTGTTTAAAAAGAAGGCTAGAAGTAAGGGATAACATGTTGAAATAGTTAGCTATAAGCAATTTAATTATTTTTTATTTTTTATTTATCTAAAGGTAGCCTAATGATAAACTGTTTAAATAGCTAAAGCAATGGATAAATGGTTAAAATAGTTAACTCAAATTAATGGATAAAGTGTTGAAAAAGAAGGCTAGAAGTAAGGGATAACATGTTGAAATAGTTAGCTATAAGCAATTGAATTATATTTTATTTTTTAGTTATCTAAAAGTAGCCTAATGATAAACTGTTTAAATAGCTAAAGCAATGGATAAATGGTTGAAACATCCAGCTTTTGCCACTCCAAGTAGTTTGAATGCAAGCTTGACCATAGCAATCTGAACAAACACTGATGATTCAACTGTATTAAATAATTACTGAAACAATAACCACTTTTATATAATTAACAATAGTGAATAAAATCCTGTTCATAACCCATTCATAAGAACAAATTTGGAACATGACTGATGGTGCCAATGAGTTCATCTGATCTGGGCTATGTGGGGGCGTCAGGCTAAAAAGGTTGGAAAGCACTGGTATAAGAGACCCAGGAAGGGCTTTAACAGATCATTGTGGTATCCTGGTAAAAGAGGCTTCCTGTGTTTGCCTCCACAGGAACCATGACTCAGTAATTCTCCATCTTTCTCCTCCTCCGCTCTCTCCATCTCTGTACTGTAAGTTTCACAGAAAATAACTTCTGCATGAATGGAGCTGAAGAAAATGTGATTCACAGAAGACATGACATTCAGTTCAGACAGTAGGGCAAAGATGAGTAACGTTAGCTGAGTTTACCTGCAGGCAAAGCATGCGTGAAAGCAGATAGATGTACAGTATACTCATACAACAAATGCATAGATGTGTGCATACATTTAATGACATGTACACAGTCATAAAAGCTAGGATGCGCTTCAATGCGCAATGTCCTTAATTTATCCAAAATGTAAAAAAATTTTTAAAAAAAATACACATGGAGACCTGAAAGCATGCTGAGTGGCTGATAGCTGACATGTTTTGGAGAAACCAAATCCTATCCAGGACTGCTAGAGTTTTGTAAAGACCTTCAGATTTACCATGTGGCTGTAGCGCCACTTCTGTCATTGAATTTTTTCACAATGTGTTAGGGCAGTTTTTTGAAAATGTGACCATAGACAATAGTAAACTGTATGCCAATTAAAAATAATTTTTTAAGGCTCGTGCACCACATTTGGTGAAGTTCGGGTGAAATTTGGAGGAGTGTTAAAACAAGAGTCTGCAGCAATACCAGCAGTTCTGTGAAGCTGTATTTAGTCATACCAGTGATTAAAGCTAAATGCTAACTTCATCATGCCAATTTGGTCAATAATGCTAATATGCTGATGTTTACCAAGTATAGTGTTGACCTTGTTAACCATTTTAGTGTAGCGTGTTAGCATGCAAACAACTGCTTATTAGAACTTAACAACACAGCTGCGGATGAAATGAAATGTCATTCGATTTACAAATACTTGGTCATTAACCAAAGGATTGGCCTGATGATGGGGCTAGATGAAAAGTTAATGGATTGTTAAAGTTGTTGGAGTCCATCCTGAGGTGGCTGTGAATGTCTGTACCAAATTTCCTAATAATCCATCCAACAGTTTTTGAAATATTACACTAAAAACAACTGACGTTTCAACCTTGTGGTGGCGCTAGAAGTGAGGGGATCACCAGGGTCTGTAGAGATATGACAATCTTGACCAAAGTGGACTGACTGACCAACATTGCCAGTTCTAGAGGCACACAGCACGCATGGCTTAACACATTCAAAATGGTAGATAGTCTTTTCAGAGATGAGTTGGTATGGCCTGTTTCAACGGATTCATCTTGTACCAAGGAATCCAGAAAACAAAATTTTCATTGGCTTACTAGTTATGAGCAGAAATGTTAAGTGTGTCAAGATGACACGAGTGACACCAACAATAATAACGTTCCACCAGATATTTACTGAAATTACTTTTTGTTATACACTACTAACAAACAGACACTTAAATATATGTAGAAAAACATTTGTGACCAAAAACAACCTCCTTGGTTAAAGTAATAACACCCCTTCTCATGTACACACCAACTGCATGCATACACACTTAGTCTTGTTGATCTTGCCTTGAGTGTATCCTGTATATGCACAAAATCTAGTTCATAAACACTCAGCGCTTTGTTCATACGTGTTGTTCCAACTTTGGTGTATAGTTGCCGGGACAGTCTCTCTTTCTCTTTTTTTTTTGTTGCTTTGATGGCTTCACTGTAATATACAAGCGGTCTAAAAATTAAAAGCCTCAACTCTGGCAGGGAATATGTCACGTGTGCAATGCAGGATGTTGCTGTTGTTGTTGTTGTTGAATGAATTTTTCTCATGCAGTGCCTGGATAGATCATACACAGTAACCTTCACTGGGAAGGCAAATATATCTTAAATGTCAGTTAATCAGAGGGAAAATGAGCAGCTGAAACATTTGCAGGGACCAGTATGAATATTTATCAAGACGGAAATCCAGCCAGTCCAGACTGTCAGCTTTCCTGGTATGCATTTGTTTACTGTAGGGGTTTAGAGAGACAGTCAAGGCTTTTCCTGTGGACCTCTGGGAGACAGAGGGAGGGTGTCCAGATAGCAAGAAAGAGAAGACAGAAAGAGGGAGGCAGGGAAGAGGAAGAGGGTAGTTTCTTGCAGCCTGAGCGTTTGGCTGAAGGGTGGAGACTCAGAGCAGCAGTGAGGAGGGAGGATCTCAGCTGGAGCAGAGAGAGAGAGAGAGAGAGGGGGAGAGGCATACAGAGAGAGGAGTGTGTGTGTTTGGATGTACTCGCCTGCCTCGCTAACGAACTGACTGACTGTGTGTGTGTGACAAAAAGACGAGAGAAAGACGCGTGGATACTACTCCACAGGACTGGAAGTGTTTGGCGTCACAAAAGGAGACCACACACACAAAAAGGTTGGCTTTTTTATTTATTTTCTGGGGGGCAGGTATTATTTATTTTATTTTTTGGTGCCATCTGGGATAATTGCATTCAAAACAGGGTGTGTTCCGGGAGGTGGGATGGTTCATATCCACGCTGTTGTTTTGTCAGCGCTGGAGGGGTGAGATTGATGCCGCTGGCTGGTTTACATCATGGAATCCCCTCCTCCCTCTAAAATCTCTAAAAACCTCCTCACTGCCAGGTGAGCTGATGATTTATTTCCCCCCATCTCGTACCTCCTTTCATACATGTGCATATGTATACGAGAGGGCTAAGAGAATAGACTCCCTTCCTCCCTTCTGTTCTTCGTCCCTCCTTCTTCTTCCCTCAGGATTGAGCAGATCTTATAATGTAGAGCCAGAGGAATTAAGGGCATCTGTTTCAGGGGATATTTGCATGAGCAGAGGGGATGAAAAAGGGGAAACAGAGGCAGCCGAGAATCCCAAAAGCCTCCTTTGAGGTTTTTTTGCCATTCTGAACTCTTGCCCTCCATGCCGCGAGGAGAAATCAGTCGACCACACACAAGGTCCATGGAGTGGTTGTATCAGGCAGATGGCCGGGAGAGGAGGAGGAGGAGGAAGAAGAGGAGGTGGGGGGTTGGTGTTTTTATGTTGCTTATAGACAGATACAGTCGCTGACAACAGCATGCATTTGCAGGAAAACCGAGAAAACGAACACAGGCATGCTGTTTTCCCCACTCTTGGCTCGTCACACTAAGGCATCGTCATATACAACACACATTGAATCATCCATCCTTCATGCGTGTGTGATTGTGTGCGTTACATATCCAAGCCTGTTACAAACGCACACAACGTGTCAGAATTACGCAAGAGCTCACGTCCACGCGGCTCATACTGTATCTCAAAGACGAGCTGCTCCAAGGCCATGGTTTGTTTCACACATGTCGATGTTGAGACTAGAAGAGAAGATCATAAATGTATCCAACGATAAACAAGAAGCATCAAAAACCTTGACAGTTTTGAGTGTTACAGATAGAAAGCAGAGAGGGCATAAGGGAGGAATTATGTAAGAACAAGGAAAAGTGAGCAGCCATCCATGCCTTTATTGACCATTTTGACCTGTCCTTTCCCATCACTACCTTTAACCGAAGAAATCCTTCAAAGACAGGGTTTTAGTTATCCAAACCCAGGGCTAAGCTTCCTAAAAGCATCATTCTTGTTGAAGTCACCTCTATGTGAACCTGCCTTTTCATACTTTAAAACTGACCAACTTCCAATGTACAAGGCTTCACAGGAAAGGTAACTTACACTTATTCATTTAGTTGACGCTTTTACCCAAAGCAACTCACAATTGCTATACATGTCAGAGGTTGCACGCCTCTGGAGCAACAAGGGATTAAGCGTCTTGCTCAGAGACACATTGGTGGACGGGTCACAGTGGGGGATTGAACCCAGGTCTCTCACACCAAACACATGGTCTTATCCATTGCGCCACTGCCACCCCTACTTAAAGTAGAAAGGAGTCTTTTTTTTGGGAAAGCCCAAGTCAAGTCTCATATCTTGTCCAACTAAGACTGATGTCCTTGAAAGAAAGTCCAACTGAAGTCAAAAGTCTTCAGTCTGCCAGGTCAAAACATGAGCCTTGAATATACGTCTTTAGGCAGTCAAGACTCAACTAAGTTACATCTCTTGGCAGTCACATCCAAGTCAAGTCTTAAGCTCAAATTTTTGTGACTTGAGTGTCAAGCCTATGAGAGCTGTTTTCAGATCTTTCGGGGAAAGTACAAGTCAACCCTTAACTCTTGTCCAACCAAGTCTCACCTAAAGTGTCACTGAAGGCCATGTCTTTAGGGAGTCAAGTCTCACAGCTGTTATATGCAAGAGACGTTCCAAGATCTAATTTTGTGTATGACTTACATAAGTCTGACATAAGTCCAAGTCTCCAGAGCTGTTTTTATGGGACGTTTGAGTCAAGTCTCAAGTCTTGTTCAACCAAGTCTCAAGGTCAGGTTTCAAGTCTCTGGAGGCAAAAATTTTGATTTGAATGGTTTTTCCTACCTTTCAAGTCAAGTTAAGTGTTTTGGGTGTCAAGTCTTCCAAGTCCCAAGTCCCAAATTTTTGTGATTTTATTCTGATTTGAGTTGACGTCTCAAGTCTGCCAGAGGTTTATTGTTTGTCCTGTCCTAATAAGTCTCAAGCCCTTGAGGGTAGAGCGTGAGTTGTTGTTGTTGTTGTTTTTGTGTTTAAGGCTCAAATCAAGTCTTGAGTCCAGTCTCAAGTAAGACAAGTCTCACTTAAGTTGGACTCAAGTTCCAGTCAAGTCCCAGTCAAGTCCTTATTTTTTTTACACATTTTAATGTATGCAAAAACATCTGCTATGATAAATATTTTATTTAACTTGATTTTAAAAAGAAGAAAAAAACTATGAAAAGGGCCTGGAAGTACATGTACTCTTTCTCCCTCGTTAACAAATTCTGAATCTATGAATGCTCCACCCATCAAGGTGGCATTAGAGGAAACATTGGAGTGATTCAGCCATAGCCTACATGTTTGAGCCTCAGTCACAGGCAGACTCAGATGAGGAGTCTGTTGTGAAACCAAAATTGGCGACTAGCAGATGTATCAGAATGGTAATTGATGTTAGCGTTTTTTATCTGTTTATGTTGTTTGTTAGCTTGTGACACAGTATTAGTGGTAGGGAAACATACAATATCTGCAATTATGTTACAGTATCACATTGTCACATTACGTCATAGTAGATAGTGGAAGGAAGCTCCAGGGTCCGGTTTTTATCCAAAAACTGCACACTATGCACACTCACAATCTTGTTTGCTGTCAAAACTTTCAGTGCAAACTCTAGCTCTCTGTACTGACAAGTCTGCTCTGCCCTGGAAGTTTCAGGTTTCTTTGCCGGTGGCATTTGCTAGACAGCGATTGGCTTTCAAATTTGATACATACCAAATCAATCTTGCCCAGGGGTACGTTTGAATCTCAGATTTTAGGAAAGTGTACAGACATCTTTCCCTTCAGTAGAAGAATGTGAAAGTCCTCTGATAAACTTGGGACAGATACAAGTCAGTAAAGTCAATGTCGGACATTTTAGTGGACAAACACATATCTGAGTGGAGGGGATCTGTTACTCAAGTGCAATTCTCAAATCTATAGTCTGAAGTCTTTAGGAAGTCAAGTCTCCCAGTAGTCATGTCTATGTCTGACTCGAGTCTTCACCTATGGAAGCATCAGCTTAGATGATTTATGACAAGCACAATCCTCCCAAAGCTGATACACTTCCATTACTTTTCAGCAAAACATAAAGTTGGAGCAAGTCAGGGTCTGAAACGTTCCGAGCAGCTCACTCACACTCTCAGCAGAATCTAAACAAGTCCGGATGTTTGTAATATTGTTAACAGCCCAGGAGTCTGGTTGTGTTATTCTTGGCATGCTGATTGATTCCAGAGGAAAAGTGTGTTTAGGCCTCCTCACTCAAGGCAAAAGCAAAAAATCCTGCTCATTCCTCACGGAAGAGATCTTAATTTAAACAAAAACCGGTAAAACTCGTTTGTGACACATTGGGCAGGAAGTTATCCTTTTAAATTTGGTGACCACAACGGCCACTTCCAAATATGATTTCCAGAGAGGAAAAGAAGCTCCACTCGATGGCTGGTTTCCCATCAAAGTGGCTCGGGGAATTCAAAACAACCCTCTCACTCAAAACCAAAATTTACCAGCATTGTTTGTTTGGTGCCTGGTGTTAATTTTCCGTCACACAAAAACGTGTGGTTTTCTCTTGCATGCTTCTAAAGTATGTGACATCAGTATCATGCATTGTTTCTGCCCCACTAATTTCACTGCTGTTACATAACACGCATATAAAAGGTTTTTGACACAACTCCTTAAACGTTTGAGGCAAAAAAAACACTTGGTCATTGCTTTAATCTAACAAAAAAGAAACGTGCCAGGCCTTCATCGTCTGATTTAATAAACATAATAGACCATATTTGTGATCCCTGTAGCAATAAGCCTCCTCCCTGCTGCCTCTTGACTCCCAAGGGATGCATCATTTCCTGGGCCAGTGCCTTCTCCCCTCCCCCCTCCCCCCTGGGACCTAGATTAACCCCCAACACACACACATATACTTGCATACGCACGTATCACAATCTCTAAGATGGCAGGATGGGCAGGGCATGCTGGTGGTGGCACAGATGTCCAAGCTAATCGAATATTCACGGGTGGTGGTGATCTGACCGAGAGGAAGGAAAGAGAAAGTTAGGATTAATTTACGATTTGAAAAAGGATAATACATCAAATGTCAAATCTACTTTAGGAACATTACCTGATGGTCATTGCTCTATAATTATGAAACAAGCATATGAATGAGATCTATATTTGTATTATGTTTAAAATAATGTCCCTGAAAATGTCTTACTATAAGCACTGTGGTCCAAAATTAGAAAGATACTGGGTAATTTCCATGAGACATTTCCGTCTTTTTGTATTTTCTGTCCTCTCATCACTGGCTTGAAGTGGGTGGGGTCTGTTGGAAAAAACAAAACTAGCCTAATAATTGGACTGAACTGCCATTCCGCTTCACTTCATTCAGTCTCACATTGTTTGCCTATTTCTCGTACGGAGACTGTCTTATTTTGGTTTGTTTTGCTCTGACCAGTCAGTAGCAAGTGACAAATCTGTCCCACTGATGTTATGTTCAGTTGACACAGAAATTGTAGTAGCGGTTGCTGGGAGCAGTTAACATTTTTCATGACTATTAAATAAGATAAAACAACTTGTACAGCTGCATCAAGCTCAGCTCATCCACACCTGATGCCTGGCAATTTTGTGGGGTTTTTTTTATCATGAATGTCGCTAGCTAGCTAGCTGTGCATGAAGATAATATAAACTGATTGGTTGACTATTTCATCAAGGAGCACAGATCTAATTGTAAAGTTGAAGCAGACTAGAAATGTATGCATCGGTTTGGGCTAGACTTTCCAATAATCACAATCTGAGGACAGTTGATAGCATGTTTTCTTAAATTGCCACAGAGACATCCCTATCAATCAAATTTATTGAAACATTGTCACAAATATGCAATATTATAATTTGAGATTTGACATCAAGTTTCATGAGCTTTAAAATGGCCACTAAATTTATTCATATGATATTCTGTAAAAATTCTTAGCATTTACCACAAGCCTAGCAAAGGAAAAAAAGGTAGAAGCACCATACTTATATTCACATACCATAAATAATAAATGTAAAGTGATGAAATGAAAAGATTTTCTTCAGATATTCGTACACACAGGTTTAGTTTATTCCAGGGATAGGATAGTAATATATCTATCTCAAGAAGAAATGCAAATAGCTTTAGTAGAAAGAGTTTCTGACATAGAAGGATATTGAAACAAGACAAATAATTTGTTTTAGTGCACAGCATGAATTAAAATAACAAAAAAAGACAATAGAGTACAGATATCAAAAACCCAACTTAAAAAAATACAACTTTAATAGACAAGGATGCCTTGAGAAACAATGTACTTGCTAGCATACTTTTAATAATATACATAATTTGTCACAATATTTTACAGCATGAAACAATGTCAGTTTTTCAGCTCTAGTTGTTAGTAGAGTAACAGTAAAAGTAGTAGTCACATTCTTGTAGAAATGCATACGGTAAAAAGTATACTTAAAGGTGCAAATAAGACAAAAAAAGTGTTCATATCCCTTAACAATCATTGCCTGACATCTCTGCTATCTGTATCCCATCACTTTCTCTGAGAGTTTGTGTGCACAGGTAGGGCTGTCCTTTCTCCCATTCAAGGGCAGAGATCCGTGCCATATTACATTCACTAGTCAATATCCTCTTGATTGTGTTCATTAATAACTCCGGATGTCAGTTTTATGTTACTTCTCCTTGCTTGCGGTCGCTTAAAAAGCCACCCTAGAAGAAGATATTACCATCACATCTCAGCCTTTTTTATCTTCCTGATAAACTCCATTCCTATTTCCAGCTTTTATTTATTTATTTTCTCTCCTTGTGTGCAACCTCACCTATCTATTTACAACTCTGCAAATCTTTGTTTGCTGAGTGTGCCCTTCAATGCAACTTGTTTCACGGTGACATCGCAGCCTGTATCTCATTGTCCTATGACACGCTGAGGATGATACAGTCATGCAGTCACACTGTGAGGGCTTTCTGCATGCGTGAGGGCTTTTGCCTGCTCATGCACCATTGCTGTTTTCTCTTTTAAGAAATAATAAAAAACAGGCTTGCATTTTTGAAAATCCGCAGTGGGGTTTTGGATTAATTTAGTGGGTTTTGTAGTAAAACACAAAAAGGAAATGACTCAGTCAACCCAGAAAAGGTCTCGTGTCAGCTTTTACAGTAACAAAATTGAAGTCAGGAGGATTTTTTTGTGTGATAAACAAAGTAGGATCCTAGTTTTTCCTTAAGCATGACATGCATCAGCCTTATTTAAAGGGTCAGTTCACCCAAATATCAGCTTACTTACTAGCCTTGCATATATAACCAGCACTTGATTAGAAGAACTGAGATAAAGTCAAAGTTCTTGGTTTGATCTAACTCCTATAACTGATTGTTGAGACGTAATTCAATGTTCGCTAAACTCCTCCCCCCTAGCAGCGAATATCCAATCATTTGGATTAGATTTTTTTGGGGGTGGGGCCAGATTTTAACCTTTCAAAAAGTAAGAACACAGGCCCAAAAATGTGAGGAAAGGTTTAAACAGTGTGTTTATCTGTTCCATCTTGCTTGTATGGCTAATTAGCGAACAACTGACGATAGTAATAATGCGCCATGGCCAAGAAGTGTATTATTATCGGCATTGTTAGTGGGAGATCAGGTTATGTTAAAAAATCACTGTTCAGCACACCCACTGTGTAGTATTTCCTTGCTCTGTGGAATTCAGTCCTAGATGCTATCAGAGTTTAGGCTAACACTAGCTGCCCTTTAGTAGATTTTTAGCTTGGAACATAAGCTAAATGAGCTAGCGACAGCCTATAAAATCCGCCAATTACTTTTGTTAAAATCAACGGTCGCTGGCTAGAGATGAAAACCCTGCTTTTGTCCACCGCCGTCTGAAGATAACTACCACTAATAACATTTTGGAGAGGAAAATCGTCCACTGCTGTCACTGAAAACTACACATGTGTTGTGTGAGAACATAAAACTTTATAGCCATAGACATTCATAGCAACAGTAACAAAGGGGGGAGTGACTTAGTGGCCCTCAAAACTTAGCTTCGGTTATCTCTAAGCAGGGGTCCCATCCTGCCTCCTTGCCTCCCTACAGACTCTCGCAGGTTAATCACGGGCTCTCCAGGGTCCAGATGGCTGGACTAGGGACAGATTTTTAATTACCACGCTCTGATTTCACACCCTGGGCATCACAGAGGACAGAACACTCCCTGCCTGACCGCCTTAATTTCACTCTTTGGATGGTGTAAAAAAGAAAAAAAGGCAGCATAATAAGGTGTGCACTTCAGAAAGAGAAAGGTGGAGGGAGAACCGAGCTGAGAGTCAGTGTGTGTGGGAGTGTGTGAGAGATCATCACTCTCGACAGGCCAGGAATTATATTTTCCTCACCAGGATGTTTCCTGTGGTGCTAAATCACCCTTTAAGTCAGCGACACCCAGAGTCAAGCAGCAGCTATAATCACATCTGTGGAGGGCCTCGTCATGAACACAGACCCCCCTGAAAACCAGGAAGATGAGGTTCAAAACAGCTCCAAATGGCAGGGGAAGGATGGCGGAGGGTGTCTGATTGATTCAGTGGTGTTAGCAGCAGGATGGAGCGTGCTGGGGGTGTTTCAATCCCATCACTGAACACCTGTCTGCCACAGAGGGAGGGATGGGAAGCAGAAGGCTAGAACACAGGAGAGAAATGGGTCAGCAGTCACGTCCCATAATACATTTTCTGTTTTTTTTCTCCTTCAGTACAGTTCAGTTCAAGATGCTTTACTGGCGTAAAAGTAGAGAACAACATTGCCACAGTATTAAAATAAAAAACTAATAAAACCCTCTGTCTCTCATCCTCTGATCTTGCTGCTGCTCTGCAACTTAAATATGATGACACGAACAGTTCACAGGAAAATCTAATTCAGCTTTTTCCTTTTTTAAGAACAGTCTGCTTTCTTGCCTGTTTTGCAGCATACAGTAAACTGATCAAAGAGTGGAGAAAAAATTTAAAGTGAAAGTGTAAGATGTAAGTGCAGTCAGGACGTGAATTCGAAAGTACACTGACACTTTGGCAATGCTTTAGTATACACTTTTTGAAATATCACAATACTATCTTGATCTCAGATCAATCAAAAGAAAAGATCTATCATAATACATTAAATATAAGGACATTCTTACAAATCCTTAAGGGACCGGGTCTGACAAGTAAAGCCAATGCGGATGTGCCTTAAACTTGCATTCTTTCTAATGGCCAGCAGGGGTCAACTCGAAAAGAAGTATGATTGCTTTGGAGTCTATGAGAAAATGACTTCTCACTTGATTTATTACCTCTGTTAACACTTTCCCCATTTAGAGTAAAATAGACAATAAAGCAGGTTATGCTCAACTAGCCGTGAACCGGTTTCTGAGTGCTGTCTGTGTTTTCATCTAAGAACTTTAATGCTTTCAGTGTGTTTTCATTTCATGAACATTAATTTAGTTGCCTTAAAATGTTTCAATGTTCAGCGAGCTGTTCGGTTTTTTGCTAGCCAAATTAGCATCCACATTAATATTGCAGTTAATGTGAGTTACGGATGCACCTGACTAACCATGCTGACAAGCTCCGCCCTCTTGTCTGAATATTGTCACTTCACATTCCAAAAAACCAAGATGGCGAAGGCCAAAATGCCAAACTCAATACTTCAAAACGGTAGTCCACAAACCAGTGGGTGACATCACGGTGGCTACGTCCAATTCTTATATAGGTGTATGGACTGAACCGAAAGAGTAAAGTAAATCAATGAGCTGAAAGATGCTAAAATACCCCGTCTAGCTGAGGGGAACTGGAGAGTTGGGTGATAATTCTCTGGGGGGTCAAAACTACAAGTGACACTTTTCACATACATGTAGTCATTTAACCCACTGTTAATAGAAAAATAGATTATCGCAGCTGTAAATACAAATCATGTTTACTAAACATTATTTACTTTTTTTTAGATTATCTGACATATTATTCCTGCTGTTACAGGCAGTTAGCAGATTCTTGAAAGTGAATTACCTCTTAATAATTTTACTGTGACAAAAAGGAATGCCGACTTGATGTCCAAAATGGTGGATAACACGATTCAAACAAGTTTCAAAAGTGTACTAATAGAATTTTATATTGTATAGAAATAATTAGAAACCAGTGATTGGCGGATAGGGTAGACAACATACACTGAAGCTTCTAAAACACAGCAGCATTGTTTGCAAAATTGTAAATATAGGTATAAGTGATTTTCAGTAAATAGCTTAAACATAAAAAACAGGCGTAATAGTTAAAAAATTGATAAGACAATCAGTTCATTAACAGATAATTCAGCAGAAACCCAAACAATCCAATAGTATAAAACATTTGCCTTTACTTTAATATCTCAAGTACCTCCAAACGAGCAGCACACACAACAACATCCATGAGACTGATGTGTAATGTAAATGTAAATGTGAGTTTGTTGAGTGACGAGCCATGCGAACACGTGCTTTGAGCAAATAAAACTCATCATGTCATGGTCACAAGTTACAGGTCAACTGAGCCCACGTTTCAGCAGCAAAGCTAATGTCAATAAAGGTGATTAGTCACAACTGGGTCATACTGTGTTCTACATATTCATTTACTATAAGACTCCTGACATTCTGCTAAAAGCTTAACAAAGTCATGCAGGAATATGTGAGTTGATTACAAATATGTAAATGATAAAAGTGGAGCCTTTCATTTCTTTTCCATTTGGAAACATAATATATTATTTTCTAACAACATGACTGATCAATTCATTGTATTCTTTTATAGTTTCTCTGACAAAAGTGTTTGTCAGCCTTTTCATTCTGGTACCAAATGCGGGGTATCTAGCCTCAATGCATTTTTAGTATTGATCAAATTGTGCCCTAAGCACCATTTATTGAAAATTGTCAGGCGCATCAAACATCTGGACAGATTCCAAATCTTCTTTACTTATTTTTTTGATCAGGTAGTTACTGATTTAAATCAAAATATTGTGATTTTATTTAATGCAGGCAAAATGCTTCTATGGCTGCTTATTTTTAGACACATAACATTTGAGAATATTTAAAAAAAAATTAGCATTAGCAATTAACAAGTTTCTCAAAGTAAAATATTATTGTTTAGTGTTAGTACCAAAACTTAATTTAATTTCCCTTTCCAGGATTTGAAGAACTTGTAAAGACCCCCTGCTACACACTGAAGCACCGCAGATAATAGTTTAGGAGTCAATGCACTGATAAAACTGATTATACTGCTTGCATAACTCAGAGTAACAGTGTTGATAAATGGCTCCAGCGAATCAGGAGAGGTGACAATGCAGTACAGTGAAATCTCCTGCTCTTTTTTTGTTTGGTTTTTAAACTCTAAGCAGTTTCAACATTGCTAGAATAGTCTGGCTCAGGGGTTCGGCCGCCGTTGGCGAGGTTTTTGTTAATGGGTGTCGTTACTTTAACATTGCATGCTGCCATGATTTATAATGGGGTGGAATTCCCTTCTTCTGCAGATCTGCTCATGCAGGGTAATTGGCCCATTTATCAGAAGCAGCAGAAAACCGAGCTGCAGAGTCACAGATGCATTAAGAATGAATCAGTTGAACCGGAGAAAGAGAGGATGAGGGCGAGAGGTGAATGGGTCAGCACAAACAGAAGCTCAACTCAAAGCAATAGCTCAACATCCAGTAGTTGGGAAATATACTTGTGTGCTATTTTAAGCATTGACAACTCTCTCATGTCAGTTCAATATGAAGATAAAACCAGCAACCAGTTAGTATAAAGACTGGAAACAGCCTAGCCTGACAAAGATAGTACAATATAATAACACAAGAATAACTGATCGTAACATTTCAAGGATACAACATGTTAAGTAGTGAGCTTTAGAGGTGCTGGTAGGTGGACTTCGTAACCTTCAGATAGAGCCAGACCAGATATTTTCCTGTTTCCAGTCTATATGCTAAGCTAAGCTAACCAGCTGCTGACTGTAGCTTCATTTTAAGTGGACAGATATGAGAGTGGTATCAATATTATCATCTCACTCTCTGCAAAGAAAAGAAAATTCCCAAAATGTTGGAATTAGTCCTTTAAAATCATAAATTCATTTGTCCCCTCAGTTATGTTTTGCTTACATCTCCTCCCCCTGTAGTTTGTTGTGGTGTTTCTCCTCCAAACCCCCTCAGTGGAGTTTGTAAGAGCGTGCTGTGACATTCTGACACACAGTGATCAGAGGACAGCGGCTGCACACACAAGCCTCAGCATAATTTATCTGGAATGTGCAGAGCTTCTGTCTCTGATCACCCCCTGATTCTCACTCTCTTTATCTGTTTTCCCCGATTTGCAGAGATTGGGACGGACACAAACTGCTGACTGAACTGCAGGCAGACACCGGGGCAGAGTGAGGAGGAGTAAGAAGACAAGGTAAGTTGAGAAAAGAGGAGAAGGTACTGCAGCATGTTCAGGAAAGGGAAGCAGCCAGGTTCATAATATTATAGTACGAGTGGTCAGTAATGTCAAAGCCCTCAGTCCGCTTGGAAACTGGTGTGCAAAGAGTTTTTGTATTACAGCGTCCACAAAGTTGTCGACAGCTGACACAGTTGAGGCCTGTGTCCAGTTGAATGCGTTATTAATCAGCTCCTGATAAGTGTGGTGTCATAGTTATCAGCATGTTGACACCATGGGCGACATCTCAGGGTGGTATTTTGGTCAGCTGACAGATAGGAAGGAAGGACAGGAGGTTTCATGATAAACAGATGAGCAAAGTACAGTAGAAGCAGTGATATTATATTGTAAAAGAACACAAGACAATCAGAAAAGCATCTGCTAAAGCTAAAAAAAACAAGACAGGAAACAACTCTGTTTAATGTTCATGAAACCCTTTTAGTTACCTTCAGGGTGCCAGCTATTTCTGGAGTCGACACATAAATGGGCATCCTCTACATGCCACCATCTCCTCACCCCACCCTCTCTGGATATGAAAATGTCAGGGTGGCATTTTTGCACGCTCCACCGACAATAAGCAGGAAAATGACTTTGTATACACAGTGGCTAGCAACTCTGGGGGAGGCAATGTCAGTCGGTTAGCATGCTAACATTATAAACGCAGATGGTGAACAGGGTAAACATCAAACCTGCTAAACATCAACATGTCTCCATCATCGTGTTATGTTAGCATGTTGACATTAGCATTTAGCTCAAAGCAACGCTGTGTCAAAGTACAGCCTCACAAGTCTTTAATTTCCATGGAGCTGGAATTGTCTTGCGTCCCCAAGTATTTGGCAAAAGCTCCAACGGCACAAGAGGCTCTTTCCTTTGTCTTCCTGACACAGTTTTCCATTTGCTTTTGTGGTATTTATTTAAAAATTCATCTCTCCCTGTCAATTCCACTCAAACTAGGCTATTGTGTCACAGCGTCTGATTATTTTCTGTAAAGAACAGGGCTATACTTTCCCATAGACATCCCAGAAACTTAAGGAGTGACATCTCTCACTATCAATAGTCTGCTGATACGCTGGCCTATTTTGACATCTCCCCTGTGTGTTGAAACAATATTATGGCCTCAATACGAAAGAAACCAAAGGCTAATTTTTGCTGTCAATCGCACCTTTGTAGTAATTCTCTGGCCTCTTTATTTAGCAAGGGACAAAACTGAGGTTGGTGTTTACATAATTCTCACTTAAATTACCTGATGTATAATACAGAACACAGTGGACAACTGTCCTTCCACAGAGGGACACCAGATTTTAGTATTTTAACCCCACAAAAATACCAAAATGCTGAATTTCTGCAAAAAGAACAGCTAAAGCTAAGCTATGTATATAATAAATATTTTAAAAAACAACCTAAGGGGGTTTTTGTTTTTGACACTCACCTAAGTTTAAATTAAAACACTATGACCCTAAAAGGTGAAGCACTTGTCGAGAACAGAGAGTGAGAACATCCAGGATCCCTCAGCTGCAGTGACTATGAAACATCATGTTTATGTGACTCTGTTAATACTAGGTAGTCTGCTGCAGGTTGTGCTCATAAATCCTCTTCAGACTGTCACTTGGTTTGCACTGACAGTGGTTCAAGATTTTCCAGCCTGGTTTAGAGGAAATGTGTCAGTCCAAAAACTGTATTGATGATTGATCTTTAAGATTAAATTAAATTAGTCTAAATTAGTCATTTATCAAGTAAAAATTACAAAAATGATTGTGTTCTAGCTTCTAAAATGTGATTAATTTCCTGCTTTTCTCTCTTAAATTAAAATTAAGACCTTTGGTTAGAAAAAAATAAATAATTTGAACATGTCACCTTGGCCTTTAAAAAAAATAATAACACAATTAATTAACTAATGGGAATAACATAAAATTACTGACATAATCATTAATTGTAAATGGAGTCACTTTCAAAATATTAATAACATTTAATCAACTGTTATATGCATCAATGTAGTAGGAAATGAACGGATTGCATCACTGCATCTGAAAGTAAGGATACTAGTAAAGAAAGCAAAGGAAACAAAGATTGAAAACCTGGTATATGATCAAAATGTGTCAGATGTAGCTGGTACATTTGTTTACAACTACTGTGGTAGGGTGTTAAACACTAATAAATCTAATTATCATGTGAAACATAAGAGCTGGAACTGTTGACCCTGTACAGGTTTTAATTAATGGGGTCATTGGGGTTTTGGTCGGTGTGACAGCGGAGATCTATGCAGCAGTATCCTGGCCTGGTGAGCAGGTGTGCCACCATCAATATTCATGCTCAGCTCCAGCACCTCACTGAGATCAGTCTGAACCCCACACCGAGTTGTACCACAGTGTATACAGTCAGATGACGAGGGGGTGGGGGCAGGGAAGACTGATCATACACCAGGGATGATACTGTTTTGAAGCACCTGCAGCTTTATCCGTTTAATCAAAGGGGTTATAAAAGACAGAGGAGCAACTGTGCAACAGTACAGACAACAGGAATCATTTGGCCTTTACATTTAACAGATCATGGTCAAAACGCCAAGTAAGGGAATATCTTTTGGAAAATGGTTGTTCATGCCTCCAGAGATTTGTAGAATCAACACCAAGGGGCACTGAAGCTCTTCTAAATGCTTCATTATTTCGGTATGACATATACACAGTGCTTTTATCTGCATAATATACTGTTTTGGCAGTTAGTGTACAGTTACTTAATGTACATACTATGTCAGACAAAGACATGCAGCCATCATGAATCATACTACCGCAACCTTGTCGGTTTCAAATTTAGGAAGAGAAGCTTAAAGATGCAGTATTTTTTATTTGTTTTCCAAGAGGTTCCTGGAGTTGTCTCAACATCTTCCACAAACATTTAAAATGTGTAACTACAGATTATGATCCACTAACTGCGTAAGCATAGATATTGATTAATTAATGGTTACATTCAAACCTTTAGAATTAAAAAGTTGGCTTATGTTGCTTTTTTTTTAAATAATGAGTAAGCTACTCTCCACAAATGAGTCTGGAACACCAAAGTGAATGCTCACTCAGTATGATGATGAATAAGCTTGGTTTCAGAAATATTAGTAATTGTAAAAGCTATACAGCAGTTTTACAGTGCCAGACATGCAAATAAAGCGTTGCTGGAGCTTTGTAAAATCTGCTGTCTGCTAGGCAACCCGTATTACCTGTTTGCATAGACAAAGGACATAAATGTATTGATTTTTTCTCCTTCACACAAAGCAGAGGGTGAATACCGTGCCCCTGTGTGACACTGGGCCTAAGAAGTGTTGATGGCGTGAAGAAAACCGCTATTATCTGTGCAAAATTAGATATTTTCATAAACCAGTTATCTGTTTATCTATTTTAAATATAGTGCTGGACAAACCACTGCCCCCTCTCTCTCCTCCCACCTTCCCCTCCTACCCCTCACTGTCATGGGCTGCCTAGCAACAGACACCATAAATAATATGCCTGTGGATGTGGTATGTGTGTGTGTGTGTGTTCATAGGCATGTGATAATAAACAGGGTATCTGTTACTAGTGCTCCTCTTTGCATGCCTGCTATATTATAGTGCCTATCTTCATCAGCGGCACACTGTGGGTGAACTGCAATGTTGGGGTGTTTGAATCTCGTTCTCTTCTACGTAGGCAGTGCACACGAGACCTGACTGATCGTGCCCATGGCGAGCAATAATACGGCCAGCATCGCACAAGCCAGGAAGCTGGTGGAACAGCTGAAGATGGAAGCCAACATCGACAGGATAAAGGTGAGCATGTCCACAATGATAATTTACTTTAAGGAAACTTCTGGTGCTTTTGTAGGTTTAGGTTTTAAAACTGATTTGAGTTAAAGGAACAGTTTGACACTTTTGAAATATTTTAGTGGCTTTCTTTCCCAGTGTCAGAAGAGAAAATTAAGTCTCACATGTGTAGCTGGAGCCAGCAGCTGGTTGACGTAGTTAGTACTTCTAAATTTATGGTAAATATAAAAGTGGTGCCACCAGCAATTACAAAAACCTTCAAAAGGATAAAACACAATAAAGCCAAACAGCTTATTTCCATTGTGGTTCTTTTTGGGAAGGTAGGGGCAACATGAAAAGGCAGCTAGTAGGTTACTAGCGGCATCCAAGCATACATCATTTCTTTTAGAAATGAAGTTCAGTGACAAAACAATATATAATAATATTAATCCATAAACATTCCTATATACAATTCAACTATTTCAGTCACAACATTACTTTACAATATATAACAAAGTTCACTACATTTTATTAAATTATACAATGCAGGTAAAACTAAAACAACAGCATATTGACCACAGTTCATGCTGCTAATTTATGAGCAGAAGATGGCCACTCAGCCATTTTTTTAGTGAGGACTTAACGCTAACTAAAGAGTTGATTACCTTAATGTTCATTGGTAGCCCTAGCTTTGCACAAAGACTGGAAACAGAGGGAAACAACTATAGCCTGACTCTGTCCGATGATTACAAAAATCGGCCTATCAGTATATCACTAATTAACATGTTATATCTTGTTTTTTTAAGCTGTACAAAAAAAAAAGTGCAGAACCAACTATCCACTGACATATGTATTCCTTTAAGTGTAAAGCTACAGCCAGAAGGGGAATAGCTTAAAAACTGGAAGCGGGGGGGAACTTGGCTGTGTCCAAAATACAGAAATACACCTACACACTAATCAACATGTTGTATCTTTGTTTGTTCAGTAAACAAGCAACACATGCAAATGTAAACAGGTTTCTGTATAGGGGAAATTACCTGCTATATCTGTTTCCCCTTGCTTCCAGTCTTTATGCTAAAAGCTAGACTTATCACCCTCCAGCTCTAGCTCCAGGTTGACATATTGCGAATGTTAATTTACACACTTTCTTGGTTAAGAAAGAGGTAGGTGACAAGATTGAGACCACTCTTGTTTCTGTACGTCAAATATGTCTTTAACTGTATCTCTGTATGATGTATGTCAGCGTATACTGACCTGTCTATATGCATGTGTGTGTTTAATTCCAGGTGTCAAAAGCAGCGGCAGATTTAATGTCATACTGCGAAGCCCATGCCAAAGAGGACCCTCTGTTATCACCAGTGCCAGCATCAGAGAACCCGTTCAGGGAGAAGAAGTTCTTCTGTGCCATCCTGTAAACTTGGCATGGCCCTTCAGCAATCTGCTCAGTGTGGGACTTTGAACGTGGACGTTCAAAATACATAGAAATCTTCTAGTAGGAGGGCACAGTGATTATTGCCCCTTTTCTTGAACGGCACCTAAAGAGTGCAAAAATTAAAACCCACAGAGTTTACGTGTAACCATTAAAAGGGTTGTGATTGCTTTTTTTGTGGGGTGTTGCAGCATGTTGAAGGGTTCTGTGCGTTTAGATGACACAAAAGGGATGATGATGATGATGATGATGATGATGATGATAATGATGGGGATGAGGATGAGTATGGGGATAACCCAGAGAGGTGACGGACAAACAGTCAACCTACCAAGTCTTCAGGTTGTGATGTGTACAAAACAAAACAAAAAAAAAGATAATATGTGAATAAAATTTTTTGTGGTTCTTTTGGAACTTCCAAATGTTTTGTTAAATGATTTGTGGGTGGGTCAGGCACCGTAGGACGGCAAACAAATATACTCCTACCACTAGACGCCACCTGATTATTGGAATGGGATTTTTTTTAAAGTTATTGTTTATTTTACATTTATTTCAACTTTACTTATCACCTAGATATCTTTCTATAACTGTATGTGATTACTGAAACTGCTCTGTTAACTTTTTTTCTTACACCAACAGGTTAGTGAAGGCTTTTTTAATGGGATGTTTGAAACATTCAATTCTGTGATTCTCCATATAAATAGCTGTCTGAAAATCAGTCTCTGTGTATCAACATCTATCTGGCAAATGTGATGCAGTTTGTCTCCTTCAGATACAAACCCTCTTTGTACTATTTGTATAAAATGACTAGCAAGTAAACTGTGCTGTGCTGTGAGTTCTGAATGTTTGTGTTTGTATCATTAACTATTGCATGAAATGGACAAACAGTCTTCTCTATTTCCTTTCGTGTGGAGATTGTATGAAGCGGGGGCAGCCTCCATCTGGAAGTGCCAAAACATATTAAAACCAGAATGATTCAATACGGACTCAACAAGGACATCTCTCACATATAAATAAAACCGGTGATAATTTGGAACATTGCATTGCAGGCTGAAAAATAACTTGAAGCAGCATTTTCACAATCTTCAGATACTAATTAGATAATTAACTGCAAAGGCATCAGATTTTTGGGGTTGATTTGGTTCAGATTGGTTTATATATTTCAGATATATTTTTATGCAAACCAAAAAACAACAGTTTATCCTCTAAATAAATATTCCCTTCGGTTTCTTTTCATTTGGGAAAAATAAATTTGTTATTGAAATTGTATGACAGTATCACATACATAGTCTCTAAATGCACGTTCCAACTCTTAATTGGAGCTTTATTATACGTACACCAAGATACAATGTTTTATGGTTGCAACATTGCAACCGTACCTCAAATAGAAATATAACTTCTTTGTTATTCAACCTGACATACAGTCTTTGGCCTTGAAAAGGTTGCACTCTCATTTAGAATTAAAGTAAAAAGTAAAGTTCTCTAGCTTTGATTAGTGCTTGGTTGCACAATACAAGTCTGCAAAAATGGACCCAACAGTGGGTCTGGAGAGCGTAACCATTTTGCTGCAGGAGAGGATACGCCCTCTACAGGTATTACAAGTGAAATTGCATGTATGATACATGTTTATCTGTAAGTGTAAACATATAAGAAGAGATTTTAGACAGATTAAAGTTACAGATTTGCAAAGGGAGGTGTGTGTTTGTCTGTATCATAGCTATATCCTAGGGTAAAATAAGGTTACTGAAAGCAAAATTGGTGCATTAGCTGGTGGACAATTATTGTTGATTGACAGCATAAACATACAATTACACTATAACAATCATAAGCATAAGTAGAAAATGCATTTCCTGTAGAAAATGCAGTGTGAATGTTGACAACAGAAATGCAGAAATGAATTGCCTTGCACTGCAGAACAGTCTAACAAGGTGTTTTTATATACAGTCTATGGTGTGGACATGTACTATGTACTATGCCACTGAGCAGCAAAGCATTCATTGTTACTGTTGAATTGATATTGTAATAGATGCACCAGTTAGAAACTGCTGCAGGTGTAATCAATCACAATAGTGAAATAAATAGCTGAATGCACAAATGTGTTGCACTGCTGAACAGTCAGGACTCGAACCGCCGACCTCGCAGTCCAAACAAGGTGTAGGGAAATATGCTTACAAAAACTACTCAGCTGATGAGCAGTATTACAGGCTGCAATTATTAGAAGACAAAAACGAAAAAGCGCCATACCTGTTAAATAGATCTTCACATTGATACACTAATTAGAAAATGCTGCAGGTACAATCAATCAAATCAATGTTAGCTGATAATTTGAAATGCATCTGCTCTACTAAAGTTAGTCTGCGCCACTGAACACATACTAGCCCATTCTTGTAAAGGCTGTCGTAGTAGTGGTGGTATTATTAAAGGCTGTAGTGATTGTTGTAAAAAAAAAAAAAAAAAAACTACTAGCCGCAGTATTCTCAGTATTAGTAGCCGTAGTCCGGACTCGAACCCCCAACCCTGGGGTCGTGTGCGTGTGGGCCACAAGGGATTGTTTAAACACTTTCCCCCGACTCTCATTTTTAAAGTGAGTTTTAGTTATTTGTGCCACCGGAAAACCCAAAGGCTATTAGGCTATTATATATGACTATATGTAGGCCTATATGTCTAGGATATTAAAAGGGCAACAGAGGGCGCTCTGAGTTTATAATTTACATCATGGTCAGCATCGTTAGCGGCAGGGAAGTTCAGAGGCCAGAGCTGTTTAATGGCAGAAGACTTTATTGCTGACCTCCATGATTTGTACAGGTAAGAACTGCTATTGTGGAAAAACGCAATAATTTCCTAAGTTTTATGGGCATTGGTTTGGGGTCGGGTACAATGAACATTACAGGTGGGGCCGTAATGTGGGTTTGTGCTCAAGTAAAAATCGAATTGCGCTAGCGATTAGCATTAGCAACTCGCCGGCTACTATTAGCATTAGCGATTAGCATAGGCACACCTAGCGGCCATTTTGATTTAGTAAAGTCCTTGAAATGTTTAGATAATTTAAACTTGTCACAGTACTTTTTAAGTATTGTTAATACCATTTTACTATGTTTTTCGATTAAGCTATCTGTTCAGCGTTTTAAAGTAAGAATATTGCTAGAAAACAGGCAGTTAGCCAGCTAACTTAAGTCCGACCTGCTAGCCCGTAGAAACACAAGCTAGAAATCTAGGTTTGCTGTACAGTTAACTTATGACAGGGTTAACTAGGGCTAGGTTATCCTGTAAATAGAGTTTAGTCTGTAATGTGATGTTTTGAATTTGTTATCTGAGCAAGAGACATTTATGGAACTTAAAATATGTTGCTATAACGTTATATGTTCAGTGTTGTTTCTGTGTTGTGCAGAAGATGTCTAGGTGCAGCTTTAGACATGTAAATGTTGGTAGCATGGTTTAAGCTAACTTAATTAGATGGCTAAAATAAGTGAAGGCCATTTAGTGTATTTGTACACTGAACTTGTAAGGCAGGGCTCTTAGCGCAGGCAGACACGAAAGTTAAGAGGCCAGGACACTAACTTAAATATTTTGCACGGGCGCATAATAACGTTAAACGCTTCATTAAGGACTTATAACATGCGCTCCCATTCATTTCTATAGGAAAACATTTGTGAAAAAAGAAACATTAATATTCTAAAAAGTATTAGAGGTAGATAAAGTTTCAATACAGCACACATGCCCTTAAAGCGCTAAACATTTTAACATCTGACTGGTTTAATTACAACAGGATCATAAAGGTAACAGCTTATAAAGGTGTGCGTACGAACGAAGAAAAAAAAGATTGTTGTCAGAAGTGGGATTCGAACCCACGCCTCCAGAGGAGACTGCGACCTGAACGCAGCGCCTTAGACCGCTCGGCCATCCTGACTTATAAAGCGTATAAGCTAGGCCCTCTTTATAATGTTGAATATACTGATACTTTGTTCTCACAATGAAGTGATTGCTATATGTTCGTGTAATGGTTGTAAAATGTCTAAAATTAGAACAGTCAAAGTGCTGCTAAAACAAGGATTCCTCCTCATGACGCTGCTGTTGTCAGGTCAAAACGATCTCATAATTCTTATAAATCTTTTCAGAGATTTACTTTTCAGAAGTGACTTATAATGACAGCTGCACTGCCCCCCCTAGCATTGCAACATCTATCGTTGGTTATATAACGTTTTTTGTACTCTTCAGCTACTGTATTAGTTGGCGTGCAGCAGTAAACACGGTTGGTCTCAATCAACGTCGCAATTAGCTCAACGGTTAGCTAGTTAGCATCAGCTTGACAAGAAGCGGACCGTTCATTCGTCTGAAACGTCTCAAAGGAAAACTGTAAGTACTTGTCCAGGTAGTTCGCTGGTGGGAAGGGATATGGATGTGTTCACGGGTAATGAATGGGTTCACTATAGCTAATGTTAGGATGGGCCGCACGATTACACACAGCGAGGTAGGTAGCTGGTGAATATTCTGCTCCAAGTTTCTTGATACAGCTAACATAAGTTAGCTGATCAGCTAGCGTTAAACTAAATGGGACACTGTTCTTATTTTATTAATCTGTCGGTAAAGCTAGGTGGAGTCTGGTGAGGCATACACTGGTTGTTTTCACATCAGGTCTTTGGCTTATTATGTTGAAATTTGTACCATTGTGAAACAGTAATCCTCCTCTCAGACACTGCACTATCTAGCCTAGCCAGTTTGCTGACGTTGGCTAGACAAGTAGTCTGGCGCTGTCAAACACCTATTTCTCTCCTGTATTGAGTATTTACTTTTTGCACTTTCACAGTCAGTTCTCACAGTCAATTCTCACAGTCAAGTTGTTGGGAAGGCAATACTCACTGAAATGCCTGCTACATAATGCCACAGGTTAAATAATTAACAGTCTTCCCTAGCTACAGCTGTATTATTAACTTTATGGTATGCTCTTTTGTTTGTTTTTTTATACCCCTGTCCCTTGTTTTTATATCCATGTGTCAAAGAGTGATTTTTAGCCAGATAGAGAATATTTTTAGTACAGATTTTCATGGTAAAGCGTAGCAAGTAATAAAGTGGTGTATGTAAATAAACTGGCTTGAGTTGACTCTGTCATTGTCTCCTCTTCTCAGTTTCAAAAGCATGGCCTCTACTCCTCCACACAATTTCTCCTGGGTCGAACCAGGCAAAGTGGCTGGACTGGCACTGCCCAGGATGACATCTGAATACCAGTACTTGCTGGACAATGGTGTCAAACACCTGGTTTGCCTGTGTGAGAGAAAACCACCTTATTATGATTCGTGCCCGGAGTTACAGCTGCACCACATCAAGATAGCAGACTTCACTCCTCCTTCACCTAGTCAGATTGATAGATTCCTGTCTATTGTGGAAGAGGCCAACTCCAAGGGGGAGGTAAGAGCTCATATATTTAATAGACTGCGCTTGATGGATAGTTATACTTTTAAAGTACTTTCAGTACTCCATACAGGCTCACAAGCAAAGTACAAAGTACTGTAACCGAATACATTTGGCATCACGTTTACTCCTGGAACAGTGAAAAGGAAAAACTGTCTTGGACAATCTTGCAGCTTCTCCAAAGAGCATGAATCAAAAAGCAAAAGGGGGGGAAAGCTTTGAAAGCCTTTGTCAGTGTATTGGATTGCATACTATGCATTTATTTTTACTGTCACAAAGACTATCAGCACCAAGGTGTTTACTAAAACTTTGTGGGTTGTTGGGAGGATCTGATTTTCTTCTTCCAGTAGTCAGACAGAGTCAGTATTCTCGTTTTCTTCAGCGGCACTTGCAAAGAGGGATGCAAATAATGATCATTTTCAGTATGGATTACTCTGCCAGTAAATTTATCAATTAAATCGTTCTATAAAATGAAGATTGCACTTGTCGTAATTTCATAAAAGTCTGAAAGCCAAAACTTTAATAGGGATGCACTGAAATGTAAATTATTGGCCAAAGTCGAAACCGAATATAATGAAACAATTTGCTGAATGCCGAATTTACATTTTTTTCCATTTATTTTCCCAGTTTTGCTTACCATTGCAAAATGTGCTTTTACTTGTTTTACTAGTGTTTCCCATAGGATTTGGAGAGACTATGGGGGGGTGGGTCTGAGGCCCGAGAGGGTCCAGTAAATAAATTACATGTGTTCATTTACTTTTAATGGACACATGTAATATAGTTTTATACTTTAATTGGATTATATTCACAGATCTTATTTCCATCCTGTATAGACACCTTATTTTGACAACCAGACATTGTCACATGTGTATCCTCGCGCTAAATTCATCAAGTCTGAACCAATTTGATAATGTTGTACACTGCTCAAAAAAATGAAGGGAACACTGAAATAACACATCCTAGATCTGAATGAATGAAATAATCTCATTAAATACTCCTTTCTCTACGTAGTTGAATGTGCTGACAACAAAATCACACAAGAATTATCAATGGAAATCAAATTTATCAACCCATGGAGGTCTGGATTTGGAGTCGCAATCAAAATCAAAGTGGAAAACCACACTACAGGCCGATCCAACTTTGATGTAATGTCCTTAAAACAAGTAAAAATGAGGCTCAGTAGTGTGTGTGGCCTCCACGTGCCTGTATGACCTCCCTACAACACGGCATGCTCCTGATGAGGTGGCGGATGGTCTCCTGAGGGATCTCCTCCCAGACCTGGACTAAAGCATCCGCCAACTCCTGGACAGTCTGTGGTACAACGTGGCGTTGGTGGATGGAGCGAGACATGATGTCCCAGATGTGCTCAGTTGGATTCAGGTCTGGGGAACGGGCGGGCCAGTCCATAGCATCAATGCCTTCCTCTTGCAGGAACTGCTGACACACTCCAGCCACATGAGGTCTAGCATTGTCTTGCGTTAGGAGGAACCCAGGGCCAACCGCACCAGCATATGGTGTCACAAGGGGTCTGAGGATCTTATCTTGGTGAGCTGCACTACCTGATCCACTTATGTGGGTTGTAGACTCCGTCTCATGCTACCACTAGAGTGAAAGCACCGCCAGCATTCAAAAGTGACCAAAACATCAGCCAGGAAGTACAGGAACTGAGAAATGGTCTGTGGTCACCACCTGCAGAACCACTCCTTTGTTGGGGGTGTCTTGCTAATTGCCTATAATTTCCACCTGTTGTCTTTTCCATTTGCACAACAGCATGTGAAATTGATTGTCAATCAGTGTTGCTTCCTAAGTGGACAGTTTGATTTCACAGGAGTGTGATTGACTTGGTGTGATATTGTTTTATTTAAGTGTTCCCTTTATTTTTTTTGAGCAGTGTATGTGGTTCTCATAGCGTACAACATGAAGATTCGATAGCCTCTGTTCAGGTACTGCAGCACTTGTCTTTGTAAAGAGAGAAAATGACAGGATAAAGTCGCTAATGCTGCCAGTCAGCTCGCACAGATCCATTTCAATAGATTTACCATAAAGGCTTGAATACATGTCACTCCTAATTTAGGTGCGGCTAGCTTAATCACATTCAAAGTCGGTCAGACCGTTTGTTGCCTTTTCTAAGAAGTCAGCCACAGAACAGTGTCTGCAAACGACTTCCATTGTAGAAAACAATTTAATCGGTCTTTTGACTTATTAGGCTGAACACCGAAAGTGCTTTTTTTGGCTATTTTTGGCCAATTAATTTCGGTGGCCGAACATTCGGTGCATCCCTAATATGTAACATCACGTAAGAGAAAGAAGCGCAGCAAGTCCTCACAATTGAGAAGCTAAAACAAATGAATGTTTGACATTGTTTGCCACAAACACTACCTCAAAGAGTGATTAATAATCAAAATAGTTAGCATTTAATTGCCAATTCCTGTCTCAATACAATGACTAATGCAGGGTGTGTGCTGTGTTACGGACGATTGAACAAAATAAAGATTGCATTATTCCTCTTCAGGGTGTGGGAGTTCACTGCATGCACGGTCATGGGAGAACAGGGACCATGCTGGCCTGCTACCTGGTGAAGACGAGGCAGATGTCGGGGATCGACGCCATCAATGAGATTCGCAGACTGCGGCGAGGCTCTATCGAAACTCACGAACAAGAGAAAGCCGTGGTACAGTTTTATCAGCGCACAAAGTAGCTTTTATAGGAGGAACAGTTTTTAATTAATTAATAAGCATAAAAAAGTGGAAGAAGTGCCTTGGTTATATTGCTAAATGAATACTTTATTATCTAGGAATTGAAAAATACAACAATTTATGTTTAAAGAGGTGAAAAATCAAAAGATTGAATGTCCTGGATGACAACATTAAACCCAATATTGACATTACCCACAGTATGCCCATGGACATTTCACTAAGGCAAACATTTCTACAGTAAATACTTAGTTACTTACGCACACTGCCTTTTCAATGGTACTGTAAACTGTCATTTTTATTGCACATCTTTACATTTGTTTATATAGACATGCTCCTTCTCTGAGGTCTCTGTTTACGAGGTTTCAACCTTCATTCATGCACTGGAAGCCAATGAAAAGAGACGCTGGCGCTCCTTAAATGTGAGCTTTTCAGGAGCCCGCACTCCGTTGATTTTTTCCTCTTGGTTTCTGTGAATAAACAACAACAATATTAGTAGGAATACTTGAATTTTATTACTTACTGTATGGGGACACAAACAGCAGCCTGTGCTATTTTTAAAATGTATTTATAGAATGTAGTCTGCAGATTTATTTTTCTCAGGGATCTCTCTTAAACAGTTTTTGAAAGAATTAAATTGCAATAACTGTTTTATGAGTACAATCTGACTAAACAAAGCTTTTTGTGATAGTACACAACGCATGAACATTTCTGTGTCATTAAGTCATCATGAGTAGAACTGCTGCTTAAATAGCTGCTTGTTAAATCTGGTTGAATTTCATTGTTTTGATTCAACAGCCAAAAAGTTTAAACTCACTCTTTTGATGCCATGTTAATGTCTCGACTCTGTCCGCTTGGTCTTTGATCTGCCAGAAACATGGAAATGTTGAAATGTATAATACAATAAGATGTCTGATGAGCACAGACTTTTAAATAAATGAAACTGGCATAAAACATTGCATTTTCTTTAATGTATTAACAAACAATTACCTGTGTTTGCCTTGACTTCCTTTTGGGAGGAATGAGTACCTGTCTGCTTTTCCAACTCTGTGTAATCAGTGATGTTCCCAGCAGAGCTTCTCTTGTTCTTAAGGTGGGAAAAATTAATTAGATTGAGGATATTGTGGCTTTATTATTCAAATCCCTCTATATTTAACACAGAAGAATTCATTTGTTGATAAAACTTTAAACAATTAAAACATGATTTGGGTATATTTCTGATATATTTTCAGTATTTTCATCCAATGTAAACTTGTGTAATATGTTTATAAAACAGTACACCTCATTTAGGTTGGGGAAAGCTTCTCATTTATCACTTAATTTTAAGCAGACAAACTTCGACCGTGTAACTGTTTCACGTTACCATTGTGTGTATTATTGTGTTTTGCTAGTAAATCTAAATATATTTACTAGTAAAAATATATATTAGTAAAACACTAATACACCCATGGAGTGATAATTTAAGAACTGTTTTAGTATAACTCGTATGATATGAACCATTATCAGTGTCCCAATACATTATAAACATGTTTTATTGTATGTTTTAGGTAAGGTCATAATGTCCCATAATCATATCATTATTTAATAAGTGGTAGAAATGTTAAAAAGAAAATTCTCATCTTTTGTGTACTTTGATTCTGTTATATGTCATTAATATGTGATGGTGTACCTTGCAGTACTCTCTTTCCTTCAACCCACTTAATCTACTTTAATTAGTGGCTTCCTACATTCCCCAGACTGCCTTTTGATAGCGTCAGAACTTCTAGTATTTTAGGGTGGATCTTCCTTTTAACTGACGCCTGTGTCGGGCTTCACCTGTGTTCTCATCTCTAGCTGTTGTATCGTCACCATCATGTCCAAATCCTCATCTTCCTCCTCATCCTCTCCTCTCTGCTGAATCTCCTGCAGCCTCTTCTGAAACTGCCACTCCAGGCTGAGCTTTCGGAGCCGGTTGTTTTCCTCTGCTGTGCGCTTCGCTTTAGCCTGGAGCTCCTGCACCTCCTGCTCCAGGAGCTCCACTACATGAAGCTTCTGCTGCTTCTCCAGCACCTCCCTCCTCGGATCAGACAGCTCCTGAGGGTCTTTTTGGACCCTTATAGGACCTGCACCCTGCTTCTGCTGAGTGGGAGGTTCTTGGAAGGAGACGTGTTTTGTTGGAGTGATGCTCACTTGGGGTTTTGCTGCTTGATCCCTGTGTGTGGTGGATCTTTGCTGCTGTGGTAGAAGTGAGGGCTGAGGTAGCTTCTTGGTTGGAGGAATGGGACACGCATAAATCTGATTTGCTTGGTTTTGAGGACTTCCATTTACTTTAAGGGTTTGGCTCATTTTCACTGCCAACAAAGAGGAGCTCTGGAAGGTGGTGAGCGGAGCATGTGTCTGTGTGTTCACTGCCCTGGTTACAGGGATGTCTATACGTATTGGCTGGATGGAAGGCGTAGGTGTTGGATGTTGTGAAAAAGGAGTTCTCCAGACACCAGCGCCACTTGTACAGCTGCCCTGCTGTCTGTCTGTAGGAGAACAATAATCTGAGAAGATGTCATGAGTAGAAACACTTGAGCGAATTGGGAAAGATGAATAGTGGCTCATGGTTTGCTTGGCACGCTGGTCCTTCTGCTGCCACAAAGTCTGCCTTTTGTCCAGCAGGGGGCCTCCACTGTCCACACACAAATTCTCCTGCGACAGGGCTTGACGCTAGAAGGAGGAAATGCAGAGATTTTTGTAGCATTTGCACTTGTCAGTACTCACATCTTTTACTAAAAATAAAAGCAGAACAATGTACTCTGTTACAAGCAAAAGTCTTCTACCTAAAAACTTAATTAAGCAAAAGTACAATCTGTAAAATGTCCTTAAAGTATCAAAAGTACTACAACAGTTAAGTAGTTTGATGATTTTTTTAAAAATGTAAAATCTTTATCGGAGTATCTTATATGTCACCTTGTCCTTTGTTTACTGCTTACTAAATAGTAAATAATTAGTTTTTTTTTGTGCCAGATGGACAACATTGTCTAGCATTTTAAAAAGACTTACCATGAAGGCCCTCTGTCCATCTAAAGGCCTCAAAGACACTTTGAATGTTTGCTGTGGACTAGATTCAGATGGGCTTTTGTCCTGGGATTTAGGAGTCGGAAGTGTCAAGTATTGCCTATGAAATGTCTGAATACAGACATAAGAAGAAATATTGTGACATAAATTAAGTTAAAAACTGTACATATGTGTAAATATATAGCATTTCCTTCCAGTTTGGGTATTTAGCGATTCTCTTCTTTATAGGGAATGTGAAGGTACATCATGCTGTGTTGCCTATTGGGAAAGGGGCGCAATCTTGTGAAGAACGCGCTCTGTTTACCTGTGAGCCTCCCGGTTGTTCTGTCAATTACCTGATTACCTTTTGTTTAGTTGTTTAAATTGGTAAAATCTAATGGAGAAGAAAAAGACCTTACTGTGAGGAATTTAATGTCACTGCCTAGAAATTATATTTGGATATACTAATAACCATAAACAATGTAGATCCAAGACTGATTTACAGACCCAGATGCTCTGCCTCCACTCAAATACTTGGTAATTGTGAATTACCTTGTTTTTGACTGAGTGTGTGCACTTTGCTTGGGTTTAAAAGTTATAAATCACTAGAAGCTCACAGTTTTGCAGTAGCTGGGTGCAAAATCTGCTCATTTGCAAACTGCGAGAGCACAGACATACTCACAAAGGTAAGGTGACACTCCTCTTTTTGACCCAATTATTAAACTAAACACGAGGCAAACCTTTCAAAAACATTCAGCTATGCTATTTTATTGAGTCATAGGCAGTTGGTTTGATCGACCACATTATTAATAAAAAGATTTGCTATAATATAGGGACTTGTGTGCATAAAAAGCAGGCAGCAGGAACCTCACAACATGGCAGTGTAAACAAAATGTTACCCATAATTTTAACACAATGTGACGTCAACTTCACATTCCCTGTAGTGACTGAACATTTTACAAATGTGACAAGGAATTAGATGGAGCCCTTTAGAAAAATCTCACATCAGCGCAAAGACTGATACTTGAGACAGCCGCGATGTTGTTCCTTCTCAGAACAGGGTCAACAGGTTCATCCACATCCTCAGGGGAAAAATCTGCTGAAATAAGAAGAAAATAAATATGCTGGACATGTTCTTATGACTGAAGCATAAAGCATATTGCACAATAAGGCATTCACTCTATGCGCACAGCAGCTGTAAGTGATCCAAATATAAGTGCACCTACTGATCATGTTGGGGTTGGAGCGATAAAGCTGCCTGTTTCTCTGCATTATCTGGTCTTTCTTTCTCCTGCTGCTTCCATGGAGCTGTTGTGAGGGACCAGGATCCACAACGCAGTACAGCATGGCTGCGTTACCGTTTGGCTTAGCATGGATTTTATCACCTTGTGAAGCAAGAAAATGTCTTAGGTCCTGAAGTGCAGGAAGTGAAACATAATTGAGTTAACTTTTATTGTGTGTGTTCACCTGCAGTCCTTTTTGAGGGTGGTTCGCTCAGCAGAGCCCCCAGGCCATGGTAGCTCGCTCCAAACTTTGCAACCTGTAAGGTCACAACGGGGCCAGTTTGCATCATGATAGCTGCTGCCCTAAATCAAGATTTAATACAGTTATTTCTCCATTTCATTGCCTCATTAAACTCTAAAGCTAACTTGTCATTAATTTTGAAACAGTGAGAAGATTGTCTATGTTTCATACTTTTTATTAGATTACCTACCTCTTGATGTGAGAGTAAAACACATAAGTCTTTCATGTAGAATGAGTAATCTTTGTCTCTTTGTTAACCTTTTAAGAGTTGATTCATACATTACATTATCTTTTCATAAACCAAAGTGCTATACAAAGATGAAAAGTTAAGGGGTCACCAAAGTTATTACTTATCAGGTCATCCTGAGAGGGAGTGTCTGTACCAAATTTCATAACAATTCATACAAAAGTTAAGACATTTCGAAACCAAGAAAAGTCATGAACGTCAGTAGACAACATCCTCAGGGGGCAATGAACACATGCAAATGCTTTGTATTTGTATAGCGCCTTTCTAATCTTTGCGACCACTCAAAGTGTTTTTACACCACATAGCATTCATACACTGAGCCTAAGTGCTCAAACAGAAACTAACATTCACACACTGGTGGATCAGCCACCAGGGGAAATTCGGGGTTCAGTATCTTGCCAAAGGCCGGGGGATTGAACCACCGTGCTTTCAATTAACAAGCAACCCGCACTCCCTCCTGACCCACGGCCGCCCCGGCTGTACAAACTTTCATGGCAACCTATCTGTGAAATATTTCAGGCTGAACTAAAGTGGTGGAGAGTCTGACCAACAAAGTGACAATGCCGCTGCTACCATTGCTAAACCTTAAAAACAACAACATAAAAACACATAAAATTTCTCTAGCCAGTTGTATAACAGGCTGTTATGTGGCTACCTTTCTTGGCTGAAGCCGACCAGGCTTTGACCATCCACACTCAGCAGCTGATCCCCAGCTGTTAGCCTGCCATTCTGCATAGAGTAGAGGCACACAAGATGTATTTATTATTAAATTTTTTCCTTGTGTAATTCCTGTAAAATTATTCTTTACCCTACACATCTCAAGTTCAGCTGTGTCCAAAATGTGTGTGATCTCACCCTTTCAGCCGGCCCACCCTTAACAATAGATTTGATATAAATTCCGAGGTTTTCTTGCCCTGCTCCCTGTGGCAAAATGAGAGGGAAGTTAATTAGTTGTGAAGTTTAGCAGATAGTTTTGGTATTTTTATAGCTTCATATCATTAGTTCTGCCAAAACCATTTTGGCAGAACAGAGACAGTCACCTTGGCAGCCACAATGCTGACCCCCATCCCGCTGTTCAGAGGTTTGTTCAGTGTGATCGTCACAATATCTGGCTCTCTGTGTACTGTCTATTGAAGAGAATGGAAGTAAAACAGACCATAAATACTTTTTTATGGCAAAATTAAATTATATATCTTCTTAATCAACATCTTATTTTGCTTACCAAATATGTGTTTGGTCCTTGCTCTGCTGAGGAAGTAGAGGAAGGTTTGCTGAAGTACACTGTCCAGTCACATTTGGAGTTCGGCTGGGATGTTAAAGAGCAGAGACCTGGAAGAGAAGGTCATACAATATAAACATCAAACAAAACCATTTTAGGTGTTTTTATCTTAGATACAATACATTCCTAGTATTTTAGCTTCACATTTTTGACTTTTTGCAAATCTGACTATCTTCAGAATCTCATACCTTTTTGGCAAATTGGCTCTAAAAATTCCCTAAACCCTGGAGGGATTCCTCTCACAGTGTCACAGGAGTATCCTCCCTCCGGCAGCAGGAAGGGCAGGTGGAGGTCAAGGCTCTCCTCCAGCTGGATGTCCCGTCCTTCACTCCGAATTAGGTTATCTGCCGAGGCCTCCGCAGCCATCACTACAGCATCAATCAAATCCTGCGAGTGTGACAAGTGGATAATGCAGCAGAAATATTTCAGGAAATGGTTGTTCTAGTTTATAGATTAGCATTTATCATTCAGTGGACATCCAATCTGCCTGCTGTGATCCTGATCAAAATACTGAAGACCTTCCTGCAGGTGACCCTGACCGCTGATCTCCCTGGAGAGGTAGAAAAGTACAACATTAAAGTAATGTTGCGTACAGGGTCGTTGGGCATACAAACCCATCTCATGGAATATAATGCATTGTTATGAAAGACCATAACATTAATATATAATATAAATTATTTAAACATATTATGAAAATTATTTAATGTAGTTAAATGTTCCACCACTAAACATTACGTAACATGATATGTTCAGTTGTTTTGCTAAGCTAACATTATAAGGCTGCTAGCTAAAATGATCCCTAATATAATAATGATATTTAAACATTCTGTTTGACCTTCGCTGGCTCCTTCATCTACAGTTCTAATGTTTGTTTGGTTGTTTCTTTAGCATTACATAAGCATGGATCTGACAATGCAAGTCAGACGTAGCATCTGGCAATCTTTATTTTTACTTACTTACTTACTTATTTCTCAAGTCCTCTGAAACTCTTTCAACTGACTGTATATAATAGAGTGACATAGAGGTTAAAAAGTGGCTGATGGTATGCCACTAGTGGTTCTACGGCATATAAAGATCCCTAGAGCGCTAACTTTATGCCACTTGTGTTCTAAAGTGCTTAAAAGTGGCTGGCCACTGTCAGACTGTCACACCACTACCACCCCCTGATTTGCAAATGTAATGTAATACTTACATAATTACACAATAAATACTTTGAATAAATACTGATTGCTATCATCGTGGCATAAGTCGTTTTCTACGGGCATACCACTCCTGATCCAGCGGCATTACACAGTTTTTTTTAATAGTAAGTTATTCTTTGGTTAGTTGCTCTAAATTTCTCTGCTGGATTATTCAGACTGAAGTCATGTTGGGTAGACTAACAATAACCATGTCACCTAAGGCTAGCTAAAATAATATTATATTTTGAGTATATAGACAAGGATATATTAAATTGCTTTAGTGTCATTTCAGAAGCGTCGCACATATCCCAACAACAGAATGGAATAGAAACGTATATATTCCCCTTTTTATATACAGTCTCTGATATTCCATTATTTACGGTGCTATGTTGAGCTACATTGTCAATAAAGACATAAAAATTATTTAACTTAATTTATGTCACATTATTATACCATTTGAAAATGGTATGTGCTGCTGGAACACGTGCAGCACTTTTCATTCTTGGCACATCTGCAATAGAAATACTTTTATAATTTAATTTCTTTTAAAAGAATCATGTTTTTTGACCTGTTTCCCAAACACCTAACACAAGTAGGGAGTGGAAAATAAAACAGCTAAGATCTTCTTGTTCGCTTTGTATAATTCAAGAAAAATACAAACCATTATTGTGTATGAAAGAAAAATGAATATAATATATAGTTTGAGAGGCACAAACTGGGGCTAATTTGGCATGTGCACAATAATGCTCTCATTCAGTGAATGTTCATAGTTGTGAACTATAAATTCAGATGTTTGTTTGAGTATAAATGTTGGCTAAATTGGGTTTGTGGAATATCTCCTACTAGATTTGGTTGTTCAGATGGAAAACTTGCAAAAGAGGCCAATACTGTATGTGACTTCACATTCACTAAATTATTTCCACTTTAATATTGGCTTAATGGAAAACTTGACGTATGAATGTGACATTGTCACATTCATATTTTTTTTCACACACCTCATATTCAGCAAGATATTAGAGAAATATTTCACTCAAAAGCAATGGGCTTATGTGACAACTCGCTTTACTATTCTTCATATATAATTCATCATCATATTCATCATTGTTAATTATTTATATTATTAAATCTATACTGCTGAGCTCCTGTTCTGTGGTTGAGGCTACATTCAACCACACTCACTGCAAACCTTAATCCTATATCTCTGTGTCATCAATGCTAAATATCCCAAATATCAACTCTGTACATAAAAAAGCTAGGATATTCCTCTTGATATTAAACATTTCTGACAAGGATTTGTCCCAAAAAGCTGCATCAGTGGTGAAGTTTCAAACAGGAAGAACAAGAGAAGCATGAGAGGACTGGAAGAAAATACGAAAAGTACTCACAGGGGGTATGTGAGGCTCATTGGTTGCATAGAGGTAGCCTGTTAGCAACGTCTGCAACTGCAGTGAGTTCAACTTGAAACACGTTTTCTGGATGTCCTTCGCGTCTTGCTTTGAGTATTTATTCATGGTCAGAAGCATCGTTGCCTAGAAACAGCCGGGCAATGCTATTTTAACATCTTGTACCAACTGAAATATGTGCTCTGTCTCTGACATGTAAATGAAAACTGCAAAGCATTAACACATTCACGTGTTGTCTTACAAAAAAACATATAATAAATACCAATATTCAAGTATGTAGCGCAGGGAGGGACCGACCTGGATAATGTGTCCGAGGTGGCAGTCAGCAGCCAGCTCCAGGCCCTGCCTCTCCGCCCAGGCTTCCATGGCCGTGAGCCTCTGGCGGAGAGCTGCTCCCCAGTAGTGGGAGCGTAGGCCTGGGGTGTCGGCCTCTGGCCTCATCAGCTGGTTGAAGAGCCAGACACTGATGAAATGGAAGAGTTGGGAGAAGAGCTGGATGGTGAAGGCAGGGTTGGCCCGACAGCGGCGTAAAAGAGACATGGTGTTCATCAAGGTGTTCAGCACCATCTCTGTGACAGGCAAGACAAAAGTTTGTATTTGAACAGTGAGCCAAATGTCGGGCAACATCACTGTACATCCAAGAGTCTTAAATTATATGGTGTAATGAGTAAGGTAATTACGCTTGTAGAAGTAAACAAACATTTACCTATACCAGCGGGCAGTGGGCCATGTTGCTCCGGATCAATCAGAAACGTTGGCAAGTACTTCCTTAACTCATTCTGTAGACACTGTAGCAGACAACTTTGGGGAATAAAACACACATAAAACCATGATTTATTATCTATAATATGCATCAGCACAAGTATTTCATGCCTGGATGCCTTTAGCTGATAAGCTACATAATTCTATTCATTTTATTTTTACATAAATAACATTATAATAATGATCCATTATATATCCTTTAAACATCTGTGGGAGTTCAGGGTTGCCATTGCAGTGGGAACGAACCTATTATGAGAGTGGTTTGTTTTGGTGGCCAGAGATTTAAAGTTCCTCTGAGAGGGCAAAGGCTTGAATAATATGTACTGCAGTTTCAGTTCGCGTTCAAAACCACTGAACCTCTAAGGGCACGTCTATACCTGTAAGCTTTGTGTACCAGGCGGGACAGATCCAGCTGACTTTGCCGTGTGAGCGAGCTGAGGTCTTTGTCATGCTTGAGGAAGTTTAGCAGCTCAGAGGAGTTGGCCATCCAGAAGGCGAGAGCCCCAGCGATGGCCTGCTGCCTCTGCATGGCAAACATAGCAGCAGCAGTGTCATGTAAACTCTCAATACATCTGGCAAACGTGACTTTGGTTTCTCAGTTTGCTCATAAACTGTCATTTATTCAATGTGTGTAAATGTAACAAAAGTAGGACTTGCCTGGATGACCTTCCCTGTCATGGCCACCATTTTGTTTGCAATTGAGGTTACAATGTGCGTCTGCCCCGAGGGTGGAGAGCCTCGCCTGTAATGGCGTTGCAGAGCAAAGCGTCCCACAGCATAGAGGATGTATGCAGGTGAGAGCTTGAAATGAACTGTGGAGCTGTTGGTGTAATTTATGACTGCAGACAGGAGGGCTTCCTCAGCTGAAATGTAAAAGCCACCGACAGGGGGCAGGAGGACATCATGAGAAGGAAGGCACAGAGCTTAAAACTGTCAAGTATCAAACTACAAAATAACACTGTAGACAAAAACCTTTTTTGATTCATACTCACAGTTATCACTGAATTTAATTCCAATTGGTAATCCAGGTTGATCTGAAAAGTCAGGATACAGACTTCCTGTGTGTTTTACTCCTGTATTTTAGCAAAGAGAAGTCATCAGCCATCCTCTTTATATTAGATAACACAGTCCTTATTGATTGCAAGTTAAATCTACCTGTGCTGAATGCATGGATGGTGTTGCTTACTCACTAGACTGTTCATTATCATCTCTGTTTTTCTACAGTGTGCAGATTTCTCACCCGGGGCAGCCTGCCTCTGTTGTTTTTCTGTCTCATGGTTAGACACACAAATGCTGTTGTTGTTCAGTAGCTTTTCAGTTGACCTGCATATTTGTTTAAAAGGGTGGATGTTATTCTGACAATTAGGGAGGCCTGAAGCTAACAGTGTGGAAAATTGATAGTGAACAAAAAAACATTTTACCCATTTTCATTCTCTGAAACTTTGTCCGTTGCTTTAGTTTGGTCATTCTCTTTCTTCTTATCTTTTCTTGACAGTGTCCTCTTGAAGCTTTGTATCACACCTCCTTTTTCTTTCTCGTGACTGTTTCCCTTTATTGTTCAATAAACACAGAAAGAATATAGATATGAGATTATGTGTGAGCAAAGATAGAGTGAAACTGCAGATTAAATTGTTGGTTTGTATAGTACCTTCACGCTCTCCTTGTCTTTCTTGAGCACAAAACGACCTTCTCTGTTGTCTGTGTTCCACTTTAATTGTACAACCACAGGTCTCTCATCCAGATCCAGTTTACGTTCTTATTCCACATACAAAACACAGGAAAATCAGAGCATATTCTTAAATCTACCGAACTACAACACCATGCATTGTAGCTCTGAACACTGAATAGTAAATAGAACAGCTGGACTAAATGAAATCACATAAACCGTTATAGGTACACTTAATTATGTGTGGCTATACTGCTTTATGTTACACACATTGTTTTAAAGAAACAAACAAGGGATGCAACTAACATTTTATCTTCAGAATATTCATTGTTTGGTCTAGTTCAAAATTCCCCAAATCTTAATTTTAATATCAAATGTCATGGTAAAGCAGGACATCTTCATATTTAAAAGACTGAAACAGCACATTTTTGGATAAAAAAATAACTTAAATGATTAATTGATCAATTTTCTGTTGACTAATTGACTTGTTGTTTCAGCTCTAGAAATACAATAATGACTTGTCTTTGTTAACAATTTAGAGTGTGATTAGCCTAATTTAATAACCCTATGTCCCATCAAAGAAGCAAAGAAACCAGACTTTTTTTCACCTTGAGTCATCCGAGTTGAGTGATTACCTTTATTGCCATGGATCTCATATAGGGAATAACTAGTGGTCAGCATTTTCATATCGGGTCTGAATTTCTCGGAAAGAGTTTCGATAACCTCTTGAGTTGAAGAGTTGCTGCAAACATGCAGGCACTTTGTGGCCACATTTCCTCCAACATGGTCCTCAAAGTAGAAGCGCATCACACCATGAAACTCCAAGTTCTGCCAGAAAACAGAAAGCTGTTCAAGTTTATTTTCTAAACTTTTCTTTAGACTTTTCTCCATTGTCCAGTCCATTGTTTTCTGTTCCTTTTTTTCTCTCAAAAAATGACAATTTTCCTTTCAATTTACCTTACGTAAAGTGTACTGAAACTATATTTATGAATCAGCTTTGAGAATGAAAAGGTCAATATCCTAAAATTCTGCTTTGGATGTAGAAATTGCAAAATCTTTCAAGATGTCCCTGAGAGATGTGACCAAAATACATAAAAAGCCAAAGCTTAATGAAGGTTTTATTTCCAGGGGCAGCTTCAATATTTTTAGGGCCTTATGTACCAACACCAACTCGCAACACATATAAACACTGTAAAAATGTATGGTCACAACACAATCAGAGTGGTAAGGAAGATATAAATTGCACCTAACACTGTAACAATGAGATGACAACGCTGTGAACTACTAGCTTAATCAGTGTTTGGAGTAGGGCTGAAACTAATGACTATTTTCGTAGTCGACTAATCTGTTAATTATTTATTTGATTAGTCGACTAGTCACGATTATTTGTATATACGATTTTTGCCATCGTTGTGTTGGACAGATTTGTGCTGCGGTGTTTCTGAGAGAGAGAGAGAGACACGAGCGAGAGGATGTGCTGCGAGAAATGCACTACGTCACTGATCTGCAATCAAATAAGATTTTAAATAGGCCTATTTAAAAAAAAAAAAAAAAAAACTAAAATCACCAGCCTATGTGGCGGTCAGCGTTGATATTGTGGTGGGCCGCCACAAATAAATGAACGAATAGGAAACACTGCCATTGCTGTGTTTTTGCTGCTGCAGTGGCCTGTGTAACTGTGACCAGGGCGCTGTGTGGGCGTGACTAGTACCAGCCGGCTGGCGCCGCTAACATCGCGGGTACTTGTGGAGCTTCTCAACCCTGAAAACGTTTGGGCACATTTTCGATTCGCCATCAACTTTGGTAAAACTGCCAATATTCAATTTCTAAACAGTTGATTTGTCGACTCAAAGCCACTGAAAAGTGTATGACAAATTGTGTCCAAAACTTTTAAACACAAAAGCCGCTCTGGTGTTTGCCTCCGCTTCTTTCCGCTCCTCGCATGAATGCTTCTTCATCTTGAGTAGTCTCACAGTCAAGCAGTCATGGTAGACAGTGGAAGCATACTGCCCCCAGCACTTCCTGTAGTGCTTTGCAGTTAGAAATAAACAGCCAGAAATGTTCATAATATGAAGTTTGCTATCTCTCCCTTAAACGGCATCTATGTAACGATGCGTCAACAATGAAATCTCACGTCGACCAATTTTTATAGTCGGCGTCGTCGATTACGTCGACTAATCGTTGCAGCCCTAGTTTGGAGTAGTAGTATAGTTATATTACTGCTCTCGGATGCACATTTCCAGTCTGTCAATGTCTTTGCATAATTACAACTCCATACTGTAGCAGAGGACTTTTGAACAGTGAATGTTTGTTTGGTGGCTCATTCAGGACGCGTGTTCGTATTTGTGAGTTGCAAATGTGGGTTCTTGTGTAATGTCTGTGGCTGTTGTGTTGTGTAGCAGGCTGTGATTGGCCCACTTACCCACCAAACCCCTGATGTAAAAATACAGAAATCTAATGCTGCTGCAACAAGACAGTTAACGGAATAGTTAATTAATCTTTTAAGTCATTTTTTAAAGCAACAATGTTGAATGTTTGCTGGTTCTGCTACTCAAATGTCAGTTTTTGACGCTTTGTTGTCCATTGTAGTTAACTGAAAATATTTAGGTTTTGGACAGTTCTAAACAACTGTCCAAAACCTGTCCTTTGGCTGTGAGAAATTACAACTGGTATTTTTCAACATTTCTTGAATTGAGAATTTTTATTATATAGATTAATCAATGCTAAAAAAAATAATGCTTAGTTGCAACCCTACAGAAATCAACAAGGCAAGATAGCTGCTCACCTGCAATACATTTAACAGCATGTAAAAAAAAGTGTCTTTTCATAGTACAGAATATAAAAGTATATGAATCAAAAAGGCACTTGATTGTTATACAATTATAAAATGTATATCAGAAAAGAAATAAAATGCAATATTAAATCACTTAAGGACTACACTACTGTATAGAACAGTATTTAAATGTACTTGGGTGAGTAGGTGGTAATAAACTTTACACCTATAAGGCACATCTAAAACTGTGAAAAACAGTGACAGTCGTACAGAGAATAAAGGTTAACCTAAACATTAAAACATATGCATGGTGTATGAACCCTGTCTGATGTCTGCAGACGACTCACCTCATCAGGTTGGCTTATTTCAAACAAATCCAATCTGTTGTTGTTCCACTGTCTGATGACTTCGGCTAATTTCTCTCGTTCTTCCTCCTCCGGCATTTTTCACCAATTAACCTCTTTCTTTGTTTCTATCTGACTGGCTGCTGTAGATTTCCTCCAGAAAAAGACGAGAGGAATATCCTGTGACAGAAAAGCTCTCATCTGTCCTAGGTATTGTATCTGTTAGGACCCCAGCCCTTCTTCAATCCATTCCCCATTAGTTATAAACTCATTGTACTGCGCAGTAAGTTCTTTAACATAATTGCCTACTTACTCCCCACATCCACGTCCCCTCTCCAAGCCCCCACACCCCTCTCCCCTCATTTAACGGGTCAGTGGAGCTTTGTTATGTGAGGCAAACTGTTTCCTACTCATATATCTGTCACAGGAAAATGATCCCAGTCTTTACAGTCCACCACCAAATTTAATTTGTCATTTTCTCTTTAATCATTTCCATGAGCAAATAGTGCAGATTTTTATTTCTCACTAGGATTTGCTGGTGCAACTACTTACATGTATTCAACTATTTACTATACATTTTAACCATGCTGCCGAAGTCATTATAGGATGCTGACATTGTGCAGGAGTCACAGAGACATTTTCACTGTTACCATGAGAGATTTCCATCCTCCTTTTCGCACCGACACGGATATTTACGCTCGAGGGAATCCCAGTTCTCATGCATACCAAAAGATTTACAACACTATTTATGGTCTTCCCATTCAATCAGCAGTATGTATGTAGGGCAGCTTTTGTTGGCTGCTCTGAAGCTTTCTGGGTAAACCTACAATGGAACAAAAGCTTTAACAAAACCAACCCTCAATTAGATATACAGTTTAGCATTTTTTAAAAACTGAACAATCAAGGGTATTGTTGTCTGGATGTTGAAAAATCTAGAGAAGACGCCTTTCAGTATAAATATCTATAGTTTCTGCCTTAATGATCCATTTGAGAAACAGGCAAAAGGCCCATCAAAGAATATATGTTCAACATGTACACTCTTTTATAAAATAAATTCAGAATTTTAAAATTGCATCTGGATCTGCAGCTGCATTAAACTGACTGTCTTGGCCATGAATTCTGCAGGATCCCTAAATCCTTCCTGGGACCACTGAGTTATGGCGTTATTTTCAGCATGTTGCTGTAGCGCCATTCTACCAAAGTGTACAGTTTGACTATTTTCAGCCCCAGATTTGGTGTGCTAGTGAGTAATTCCGGCAGTTTGTGGGCTTGACTGAAAATAGAATACAGTTCCTATGTTCATCTTATTGAAGAAACGTCTCGGGTTACGTATGTAACCCTTGTTCCCCGAGAAGGGGAATGAGACACTGTGTCGGTGACGACACTAGGGGAACACCTCTGGGCGTGGCAGGGCTGGACTATGAATGAAACTACTCCAATCCTATTGGTGTTGCTAGAACGGTAAGGTGTGACAGCGTAACCGGAGGGGTATATAAGCACGCCGGACACACTAGCCCTTTTCTATGAAGCAAGGCATTCCAGGAGGGGTGAGGTGTGGAAGACTGACGCAGTGTCTCGTTTCCCTTCTCGGGGAACAAGGGTTACATACATAACCCGAGACGTTCCCCTTCGAGGGAACTCTTACTGCGTCGGTGATGACACTATGGGAACAAGATACCCACAAAGGCCACGCAGAAACCCCGCCTGCCCCAGCGTGCAGAACCTTACGGCACGACTAGGAGGAGAGCGCACGGGTGCCGGGTGCAGAAGGAAGGTCCAGACTGTAAAACCGGATGAAAGTGTGAGGGGTGGCCCAGCCAGCCGCGTAATACAAATCCAGGAGTGATGCCCCTGCAAGGAGGGCCCTAGAAGCCGCCATGCCTCGAGTAGAGTGCGCCCTTACGGGCATAGGTGAAGGCAAACCGCGCACCTGATAGGCCAAGGAAATAGTCTGAACGATCCAGTTGCTGATGGTGTGTTTAGAAGCGGGGAGCCCAGCCTTGGGGAACCCGAAACACACCAGCAACTGGTCTGCTTTCCTCCACCTGGAAGACCTCAGAGTGTAAATACTCAGTGCTCTGACAGGGCAGAGCAAATGAAGTCTCCTGTCCTTCGCCGTCACATGAGGTGGGGGATGAAACGCCTGCAGCACCGTGGACCCTGCCAGTCTGGCCGGAACCTTAGGGACATAACCTGGACAAGGGTGCAGGATGGCCCTGACCCTCCCCGGGGCAAACTCCAGGCATCGGGGAGAAATTGAAAGTGCCTGTAGATCCCCCACCCTCCTCAGAGAGGTGATAGCGAGGAGAAAGGTCATCTTAAGGGCCAGGTGCTTGGCCTCAGCCGACTCCAGGGGTTCAAAGGGGGCCTCAGCCAGCGCTTCGAGAACAACTGCCAGGTCCCAGGTGGGAACCCTGGAACGATTCACGGGTCTCATCCTCCGGGCTCCGCGGAGGAAGCGCACGACCAGTGGAAGCCTCCCCAAGGGCCCATCACTCAGAGGGGTGTGGAATGCTCCAATGGCAGCCACATACACTTACCACATAAACAGTGTGGACGGTGAGAGGCCCGCGAAGAAACGGTGCTGGAGGAACTCCAGTATCACAATAACCGAGCAGGTAACTGGGTCCACCGCCCGTTCTCTGCACCAGGTGGTGAACACATTCCACTTTAGGCCGTACATCCTTCTCGTGGACGGGGCTCTGGAGCTGAGCAGCGTCTCGACTGCTCCTGTCATCAGGCCCGCCTCTAGGAACTGTGCCCCCTCAGGGACCAGACCCATAGCTGCCACAGGGCGGGGTGCGGGTGAAAGATCCGGCCCTCCGCCTGGGACAGCAGGTCTCTCCTCAGAGGGACCTGCCAGGGCGGGCCCTCGAGGAGCGATATTAAATCTGAGAACCACACTCGTGCCAGCCAAAATGGGGCTACTAGTAGTAGACTGACGCCGTCCTGACGGACCTGCTCCAGAATGCCTCGGCCGCGTCTGCACCATGGCATCCAGCCCTAGCGGGGCTGGGGGTGAGAGGGAGAACCACAGGGGACTGTGCGCCGTCTCTCTGGACGCAAACAAGTCCACGTCTATGGGGACGAACTCTTCGCATTATAAATCCACCACCTCGGGGTGGAGTCTCCATTCCCCGAGCCTCAAGACCCTGTCTCGACAGCAGGTCTACTCCCTGATTCTGGGTCCCAGGGACGTACATCGCTCTGAGGGACAGCAGTCTCTGCTGGGACCACAGGAGGATCTGATGTACCAGTTTGCATAACGGGCACGAGCACAGAGGATGTGGCGACCGCGGAGAGCGGGCAAAAAACTCCTCAGAGCTCTGAATACCGCCAACATTTCCAGGCAATTTATGTGCCAGGAGAAATGATGCTCCTCCCAGGAGCCTCTCGCAAAGCGGCCGTCCATGACCGCGCCCCATCCTGTGAGTGAGGCGTCTGTTGAAATAATTGTTCAGCAACAGATCGCTCCCAACACGGGACCTTGGGACAGGAACCAAGATTTCCTCCATACAGTGAGGGAACGAAGGCACCTGCTCATAACCCGTATCAGACGGAGCGGATTTCCCCTTGGGGAGAATCCCTTGGATTTTAGCCACCACTGCAGGGCTCTCATGTGCAGTAGTCCGGAAGGTATAATACTGGACACTGCTGCCAGGAGACCCAACACCCTCTGAAAGTGTTTTACAGTGATGGCATGGCCTAACTGCACTCTGGTCACTGAGGATAAAATGGACTCGACACGTGCGGGAGACAAGTGGGCCCGCATCATCATTGAGTTCCATACCACCCCTAGGAACGTAGTCCGTTGGGCGGGCGACAACACGCTCTTCGGTCAGCCCCAAACACTGAAGGTGGGCAAGGACGACATCTCGATGCCGAACCGCTAACTCTCAAGACTGGGCCAGGACGAGTCCGTCGTCGATGTAGTTCAGTATGCGGATGCCCTGGAGCCTCAACGGGGCCAGAGCTGCATCCATGCATATGGTGAACGTGCGGGGAGAGAGTGCTAGGCCGAACGGAAGAACCCGATACTGGTAAGCCGTGCCCCCGAAGGCGAACCTCAGGAACTTCCTGTGAGAAGGACGGATGGAGATGTGGAAATAAGCGTCTTGCAGATCTATCGTGACAAACCAATCCTCGGATTGGATGTGACTGATGATGGCGGGGATGGTGAGCATCCTGAACCTGAATCTCGGTCAGGGACCGCAGACCCAAAATCGGACGCAACCCTCTGTCCATCTTGGGAACTAGGAAGTATCGGCTGTAGAACCTGGCCCCTTTCCCTAGCAGAGAGCGGACTTCCTGTCCCAACACCTGGCTCTGTTCTGCGTGTACTGCAGTCCCGACCATCCCGCAGAATCTTTTGGGGCGAACCTGGAACTGCAGCCCCCTACTCAAAGTCTCAGGACCTCTTCCCCCCGGACCCGCCGAGACTGAATGACGGTCCTCAGATCGTCACTCCTATCGCTCAAACGCCTCTCCCTGAGTTTTGGCGTGCTGGAAACTGTTGATGACAGCATCCACTGCTTCGCCAAACAAGCCAGTTGGCAAGAGGGGCACATCCAGGAGAAAAGCCTTCTCCTTCCCCTGGATGCCCGAGAGATTGAGCCATAGATGGCGCTCCGTAGCCACCAAAGCCGCCATGGATCGGCCGATGGAACGGGCCGTTTCTTTGGTCACACGGAGAGCTAAGTCAGTCGCTCTACGGAGCTCAGTCAGGACCTCCTCAGAGGGACCTCCCCCTAAGTCACAGTCCCGAGGGAGATCGGCCTGGTATGCCTGCAAGACAGCAATCGTGTGCAGGCTAGCACCAGCTCAATCCGCTGCCATGTAGGCCTTGCCCACCAAATAGGATGTCATCCGACACGGCTTGGTGGGGAGCGCCGGCGTCCGGAGGGATGAGGCGAGGTTGGGAGAGAGGTAGCTAGCCAGCGCTTCCTCCACCCGTCGTATCGCTCCGTAGACGTGCTGTCTGACATCCGTCATGTTGCCGTAGTCCAGCCAGGGGGACGTAGACACAACTCGTTGTGTAGATCCGGAAAAAATGGTAAGGGCAGACGCGGGGGTGGCGCTCGGTGTTGCAGAAACCGCTCGTCTAGTTTACTGCCAGCCGAAGGCTGCTGCACCGCCTGTGGCCAATCAATATGCACCTTGGCCACAGCCCTCGTCACCACTTCCAACAACTCCTCATATCCTGGCGAGGGCTGATGACTCCACGATGCTAAGCACATCTAGCTCTTCAGAGCCAGATCGTGCAAGCCTCTCCGGACTCATACCTCGAGTGGGAGAAGCCGAGAAACAGACTCCCGATCGGGGACGAGGGGAGGAGGATTCCGCAAGTTTAGCTTTATGATAGCCAGGCAAGCTGTTTGGTCCTACTTCCAGTTTACTGGTGCATCTCAGAAAATTAGAATATTGTGGAAAAGTTCATTTTTCCCCGTAATTTAATTCAAAAAGCGAAACTTTCATATATCCTAAATTCATCACACAAAGTTAAATGTCAGGCCTTTTTTTGTTTTAATCTTGGTGATTACGGCTTACAGCTCATGAAAATCGAAAGTCCATCTCTCAAAATAATAATAAATTTATATAGCGCTTTTCTATATACCCAAAGCTTGTCAGCATGAAGGGCTCTAAAATCTCCTAGTAGACGCTGCTTTGACTCTTGAAAAAACTCTTGTTCTTGAAAAAACCCAGTGGATCAACACCAGCAGATGACATGGCACCCCCAACCATCACAGACTGTGGAAACTCCACTGAATGTCAAACAACTTTGATTCTGAGCCTCTCCAGACTCTGGGATCTTGATTTCCAAATGAAATACAGAATTTACTTTCATCTGAAAAGAAGATTAGACCACTGAGCAACGGTCCAGTTTTTGTCCTTAGCTGCTAAGACGCTTCTGACGCTGTCTCTGGTTCAAGAGTGGCTTGATACGAGCACCGGGACACTTGTAGCTCATTTCCTGGGCACGTCTGTGCCTGGTGGCTCTTGATGCTCTGACTCCGGCCTCAGTCCACTCCTTGGGAAGCTCCACCAAATTCTTGAATCGGCTTTTCTTGACAATCCTCTCAAGGCTGCGGCCATCCCTGTTGCTTGTGCACCTTTTCCTACCACTTTAACCTTCCGGTCAACTTTCCATGAATATGCTTTGATACAGCACTCTGTGAACAGCCAACCCTTTCAGCAATGACCTTCTGTGGCTTATCCTCTTTGTGGTGGGTCATTGAGTGTCTTCCCCATGATTGTGGTTGTGTGTACTGAACCGGAAAGAGATTGAAGGCTCTTCTCGGGTCAACATTTTTGTAATATACATTCTATATTATTATATTCTGAGACATGGATTTTTGATTTCCATGAGCTGTAAGCTATAATAATCAAGATTAAGACAAAAAAGCCTGAAATATGTCACTTTATCTGTAATAAATCTAGAATATATGACAGTTTCACTTTATTACGGAAGAGAATGAACTTTTTCATGATATTCTAATTTTTTGAGATGCACCTCTATATGCTGAGCTCAGCTTATTGCCTCTTGGCTCCAGGACTACACCTATAGCACAGACATGAGACGATCATCTGAGCAAAACTCTTAAAAACAAAGTGAATATGCGTATTTTCCATAATTTTGAATTATTCCTATAAGCTTAAAATACAGCAGAACAAATTCAGTTCAGGGATCTTTAACAAACTCACGAAAATGAACGACAACCAACAATGGAAGAACACCAACATAAATATACGTTATCACGAGACAAAGGTGGAAATAATCACACAAGTGGGAGAACCAAAAGAACAGGAAGTGAAGTGAAAACAGACACAAGAGGAAGGGTTAACAAAAAATACAGGAAATGTAAAACTCAAACGTATAAGCCTATTGATAGGAACCAATGCTATATACATATTTATTTAAGAGATTCATGTTTTTAATTAGATATTCAAAACAAAGTAATCTGTCCGTTTCATTATAAAAGTAAGAGTCAGATAATTGTACAGTAACATTTTATTGGATGTAAATATCTATAATTTTCGACTTAAATCCACTAAAAGAACAAAATACATGTTCCATTTCTATTTTCATATTTCTCATATCAACCGTAAACCTTCAGATTTGTTATGTATCAGCTCACAGCTTGGCCTAGCAATCACTCCTATTTTAAACTGATACAAGAGGTTTATCAGCTGACATCACCTGTTTCAGTTCTTCTTTAATTAACCTGTTTAGTGCACGAAGGAGCTGCATCTTTACTGTGCAGATAAAATGTCCTCCACTGAGGGTCTGTCTATGGGACTCTGGCAGCAGTGAGAGAACAGCACCCTCCCATGTTCATCCAAAACAAAGTCCCCTCCCAGCTAAAAAATACAGAGCAAATAAAATCAGTAAATAATTATGTATGAAAGTTAATAATCTTTCTGTGTATATTATAAAACTAAAATGTTTGTGGAAGAGATACGTTCATGTTTCACTGGAGAATAAGGACTTTAGATGATCAAGTTACTGCCGCCTCAAATGTCTTTGCAGCTGCGAGCATCATTTCACCTGAAACATGTCATCTTCAATCGATGGAAGCCCTCGGGGAAACTCCATATTGTCAACCACATATTCAGCATAGAGCAGCATGTTACTGAAGCTTAATACTTTCTTCAGAGACGCTCCCAGGCCGAATTCTGCGTATATCTGCAACACCCAACAAAACCCAACTGTAAGCTTACCATGAGGAAAAGTATGAGTGTGAACTCTTGATTTATCGTCGCCTATTGTCGACCTCTGACCTTCCTATCACGATCCAAAAGCATGTCGTACTGACAGCCAGTCTCCTGCAGCCAGTGTGAAGCTCCCTCCTGACAGCCAAATGAAACGACCACCACTTCAATTGAGTTTGCATCCAGGGACCTCTGAAAAACAATGTCATATATAGAGACAAAGTTAAATGTGATATATGACTTTAAAAACTGTGATAAAAGATGATAATTAGGATGATAAAAGATCCGGTCTAGATTCATAGATGTGATGGCAACCTCATATCTGGAAAAGAACATGCACAGTTTCAAAGGAGAATTATAACATCCAAAGGTAGCTGTGCAAAATATTTCAAGCAGAATATGGTTATTGCAGAAAAGATTTGCTTATTTTGGGGTGGCGATGGCGCAATGGATAAGACTATGCCTTTGGTTTGAGAGACCTATCCACCATTGTGTCCTTGAGCAAGACACTTAACCCCTAGTTGCTCCAGAGGCGTGCGACCTCTGACATGTATAGCAATTGTGAGTCGCTTTGGATAAAAGCGTCAGCTCAATGAGTCTGTAATCTAATTTTCTGATAAGTTTTCTGGCTGCCGAAGGAGTACGCTGCTCTCTGATTATGTTGAACTCCTCCATTCGTCTGTTATTTATACCCGCTTATCCATGCAGGGTCGCGGAGGGCTGGAGCCAATCCTAGCTGACATTGGGGCGAGAGGCAGGGTACACCCCGGACATGTCTCCAGTGCATCACAGGGCACACACTCACATTCACACCTAATTGCCCTTAGCTGCCCTTTAGAGTCAGTCATACAATTAACCTATAACCTGCATGTCTTTGGACAGTGGGAGGGAGTCAGAGCACACAGAGAAACCCATGCAGACAAACCCCACACAGAAAGGCCTGGGACAACCAAGGTTCTTGCTGTGGGGTGACAGTGCTAACCGCTGACCCATGCTGAACTTTAAACTTAAAAATAATTTACTCAGAATTCACATATCCATGAACCTATAGCATGTAACAGAAGACAATGCTCCAAACTGCATATTATGTCATTATGACACAAATATATTTTTTAGGAGAAAAAGAAAAAAACTGAAACCAAATCAAATAAAAACAGAGTTAAGAGGAGGTTAGCTACATGTTAAATGTGCATGTGCGTATCATAATGTTTGAACTACATATGAACATAATTACAGACATGACCATTGTACACATCAGACATAGTCTCTGCCCTTCCTGTGACTTTTCAGAATTACATTCAAAGTAGGTAGCCAAAGCCATGTACACATATTTTTACCAAGGTGTAGAAAATGATTCAATATCTTCATGGCTTTATTCCAGAACCTCTGGAATATTCTGTATTAAGTTTAAAAAACTGCTTCCTATGGAAAGTTATTGGTATAGTAAAATTTTAAAGGATTAAATATCTGTTTTTGAGTGCTGAGAACAAAAGTAAAATCTATTAATTATAAGATATTGTGTAATGAAAACCTTTCATATAGCGTCATTGACAGAGACATCTTGTGAAAAAAACACAAGTACTGTACTAAACATTAACTTTCTTGTGTTTACCTGACTCTTCTCCAGATCTTTAAGATGGAGACGGCAGAGCAGACAGGAGAACTGACGGATTAACACCAGCAGGACCTTTTTACCTTTCCCAAGATATTTCTCTAATGTCACTGTTCTGCAAAACACATAGAGACCGTAATGAAGTGCTAAATAGGCCAAACCAACACAAAGGTTTTAACAGATAATGTATGTTTAACTAGCACAGTGTTTAGTTTGATTTCTTAACAAGTATGGGTTCGTAAAAACAAACAAATCAAACTTACTCTCCTGTTCTGGCATCGATGAGAGACGTATCTGGTGAAATATAATTTGACTGATGGTCCCCATCCAGTATTTTAGCACTCAGTTGTAACTCATCATCCAAACGCAGCAGAAAGGCATCCCACTGCACCTGTGTTACATCATCCACAGTCAGTAAAACAAAATGATCTGACATTGATGATTGGAATGTTTTCCAAAATATTTTTTATTTCAGTAACTCACTGCTAGTTCCTGAAAGTCCTGCACTGCGTCCCGTAAAGCAACACAGCTGGAGAAGTCATGCCACAAAGTTTTTACTAGTCTTTATAGTGTTTATAAGGACTGTAAGTTATTTTCTGAATGAAATCAATAAATGCACAGGTAGGTTTGCAATTGCACAATCAGTAGATGTCAGGTTGCATCAGTGGCCTGAGTGAATTATAATTCAAAATATACCAAAATATATTTCAAAGACATTAAATAAAAGTTTAAGTTATATATTTTTGATTTTTTGACCACCTGACCAAGAAATGTTTTGGGTGCAAATGCTCAGAGATGATCAATCATTTTCTTCTGCAACAATTATTTTCATTATTGATTTATCTGCTTTTATTAATTAATCGTATGGTCCGATACGGTATGGTCTGAAATGGCAGAATATTTTTAAAAAATGCCAATGAGCTTGTTATATCTAATCAACTGTCCAAAACCCAAACCAAATTATTGTTTTACTATCACAGAAAAACAGCAAATAGTCACAATTATGAAGCTGGAAATAAAATTTTAAAAAATCAACTAATATTTCAACTAATCGATTAACAGAAAAATGATTTCAGCTCTAGCACTTACTGATTGTTTTTTCTCCAGAGATCCTCTGCCTCCTTTTTCCTCTTAACAGACAAACTGTGAAATTAGAAAAATATTTGAGAAAAAAAAACAACTTATCTCTGCATGACTGTGAAAAGCTGTATCTGTGGTGTTATGAAGCTCATGTATCTATTTACTTTTTCAAAAAATGGATATGTATATATTACAATAGCAGTAAAAGTATTTAAAGCTTTGCAGTCATAGGCTGTTTATATACTGTGGGTACTGCTCATAACCTTCTGTACAAAGCTGCACCAGCTTCAATCAGACCCAGCAGTGACTGTTTTTGCTCTATGCGGATTTTCTGCCTGATGAATTCCTGGACAGAGCCTGTGTGGAATAAAGTAAAAGAAGTTAGTGTGTATGTCTGTTTGGGGTCATTCTTCAAAGGTCCCATATCTACTTCATCATGTCTTTTTAACTTAAATATTTGTCCTCAATGTGTCTGATGACCCCCAAACTATGAGGGAAAAAAAGCCAGTGTGAAGCTGCGGGGTGTTTTCAGCTAACAGCTGATGGCAGTTAAGCTCCCAGTATTTAGCTTAACTCCAGAGTTATTGTTTTCTTCATTAAGAAAACAGTAACTCTTTTTTTACAGGAGTTTTGCTTCTTTCTCTGTGCTGGAGTTCTTTTAAGAACTTGACAGCTTCATCCAATTTGTTATTAAATTTGTTATGAACTTGAATCTGTCTTTTCATTATACTCGCACACAAAAAAGCTATTTTTAGTTGTCAAGCATATATTCTTTTATTAAATTCCAATCAAGTCTGATGATCAGATATACATTTTGCTCATGGATAGTGATGTTACTAAATAATGATGCCTGTCCATCTCTTTGTATGACGTACGTTGGAGTAATAACATAGGCCTACATCAGCTGGTTAACAAATCAGTGGGCTTTTAGGGAGGGTGGGCTGAAAGAGACATGCACTAAAACAGAGTGTTCAGACAGAGGGTGAAAAGAGGTACTGAAGCAATGGACAGTATGAAAAAAATAATGTGTTTTTTGAACTTTCAAGCATGTAAACAATTTCTATTGGAAGTTACCCAAAATAAAAGTATGCACCTGAAAATGAACATAATATAGGATCTGTAAGTCTAATAATTGACAGGCCTCCTGCTGCCCCCACTCATGCTGCGACCATATATCGCCTGCCAACTGCAGAACACTGTGTCTGCATGTCTATTTTTATGTCCACTTGTCTGGCTGCACAAAATGCTGCCTACCTTCCCTGCTCTCTTTCTCGGCGAGGTCCAGCAGAGCTTTTCCATTTTCAACAAAAGCCTTGAGAGCTTTTACACAAGAGACTGCAGTCTGTTCTGCTCTTTCAGACATTTTCTGTTTGAGTGTGGTTCTGCAATAGTTTGATAAGATATGCAATTTCTTATCAGTACACCGACATGAAAGTAAAAGTCCACTCCGGGCTAATGGGGGGGGGTAAAGTTCAGTTTAAAGGTACACTCCACTGATTTCACACGCCAAGATCAGTTTAGTCACAAGGGTAAGTACTCAGCTTGGAAGAATGGTTGTATAGTGTCTTAAGGGATTTTGGAACGAGCTTTGTCAAGTCTGTGAATCTATATTGGTGGATAAAATAAATAAGGATGATTAGTATATACTGTAAAATGTGTATGTAGTAAGTCTTTTGTCCTTTGTCAACTCAAAACTCAAACTCATAACAACTTAAAGTAGGATCTAATATGGATTTAGGAGACAGCAGTAGAAATATTTGGGCTCAACCTGACTAGAATTCCAATCAGCCAAGTAATCGATAACAACTTTAAATCTAATTTGAATCTCATTTTAATTCTTCCAGGAATATATATATATATATATATATATATATATATATATAATTAACTATGCATTATTATAATCATTTCATCAGTGACTATTACTATTTCATTAGTTTTGTCCATCAGTTTGTAGCTGTTTCCACCTTGCAAATCTAAAGGTCTGTATGTAGGAAATAAGGGAAGGGTGTCAAAATGTTCTTTACTGTTTAATCTGTGAGTTAGAAAAGACATAAAACTGCTTAGTTGTAGCTGTGTATGTGGCAGGACCTAAAATCAGAATCGGATACTGAACACAAAACTAGCATTTTTATTATTTTTTTGCTATGAATCTCACATGAACCAGATTTCTTTTTCACAGTAGTTGCAGCATTAATCAACTGACTCCATTTCCAAATCTCTCTGTTCTTGGCATCCGTCCTCCGCAACTTCCTGGAGGTGTTCGCCGTTACTCTCCTCTATGTGGCTCTCTTCTGGCTCCTGGACGCCCTCAGAGAGTCCTTGTGATTGGCTAGTGCCTGTTTCTGTGGGAATAATGTGAGAGATTGTGAAAGAACTGGCGATCTCCTTTAGACGGGCCTGCTCACTCTTCAGTTTAGCCAGTTCCTTGGTCATTGGAGATTCGAGTGTTGGAATAACGGCAGGGGCTGCAGTATTCTGCACAGGCTGATCATCTTTAGGGACTTGAGGGGTCTCCCGCACCTCAGGGACCACCTTCTCTGTTGGTTCAGTAGTGTTGCTGTCTGGTTGGCTTCCAGCTCCTTGCAACTTCTCATAAAGACTCTTCCTCTCCTCTTGCAAAGCCCTGCACAGATTCTCCAGCTTCTGGTTCTTGATTGTGATAAGTTCAAACTCCTTTTCCTTGATTGCTTTCTGTAAAAGATTAAAAAATATTGGTAAAATTGAGAAATATTTGTCTTTTCTAGTATAAAGATGCCTTCTGGTGTGTTTTTGTTACATTTATGGCTAACAACCACATCCTTGTATTGGGCTATAAATGACTGAAGAAAAATGTTTCTTACATCTGCCACCATGTCAATGAGACTCTTGTTGCAGCCATCAAAGCGACTCTTCCATGATTGGCACTCTTTATCCAGCTTTTTCATTTTCTTGGCCATCTACACCACAAAGAACAATCATGTTTCACAGTACACAATCAAAGCCTCTTCTAAAAATAACTACCACAACAGAGTGTAGGATTATTCAGGTTGTCAGATTTTAAGTGTTAGTATAAATCTCGTGGGATTTTTATCTCTTAATTCCTGTTTTTAACATATTTCTATTCACAGATAAACTAAATCATATAACAAATATCATGAAGCTGACTTCAGATATTGTGTGAAACACTTCTTACTTTGTCCATGTCCTGTTTGAAGCCGCTGTAGACAGTGTTACTCTTTGATACCGTGCCTTGGAATTCATCAAACTTCCTGGAGTACATATCAAGCTGAGGACAAATGGTGAGAAAAACATGATACGTGCCTCAAGAGTGGTTGAAAAAGACTTTTTTTTGCCCATGATGTCCTGTTACTGTACCTGGGTCTTCATATCATTTTCTTGCTCCTTCATGACCTTCACTTGCAATTTATACTCTGCTGCCTGTTTTATCAGCTGTGGAATATTAAAATGTTTCATGAAAATGAGCATTAGGGGATTAGAATAGCAAATATGTTATTCAAATGCTTGTAGCACTCGATAAATCTAATACACAAAACGTACGCGCTCTTTTTCCAGCTTGTGCTTCTCCTCTGCCTCCTTCAGTATCATGTTTGCCTGCGTGAGCTTGGTTTCCAGCAGCTTTTCTTTCAGGTCTCTGTGTTTGAAGACCTTTTCCAGGTTCTGGAAGACATTCAGGTGAATTTATGAGTCATTTTCACACAGAAATCTGTTTCATTTCTTGTTCAGGGAGCTTGGCTACATAAAACTAAAATAGTGCAGCTAATAAATGTACGACCTGGGTGAAATGTGCAAATAATTCATGTGTTTTAAACTGGAACGGAGGCCCAGATGTGGAAGGTTTTTACATAAGTTCAGCTAGTGTCAGGGAAGTTTGCACTTGAGGTTGAGGTTTACAAATTCACTTTCAAAGTTGTGTTTTGAACCCATGTGTGCTCAGTATGTGGCAGGATTAATACCGCCTCTCGCTGGTCGTATTGTGCAATGAGCCCCTTCAGTTTTTCTGCCAGGGCGCTGTTCTCCTGGCACAGCTTGGTGTTGCGGCCGCTGTGTTCCTCGATTTGAGCCTGAATCTCACTTAGTGTCCCCTGGAAATGGGTGGTGATCTCTTTCCTCTTTAGGTCGTCCTCTCTGCACCTCTGCAGGGTCTCTTCCTGCATTTCAGGGACGGATGTTAAAGCTCAAAACAAGCTTGTATACATTTGCAATTAGCACTGTAACGTAGAGTTAGGGGTGTCTTTAGGTTGTTGCATCAGATACTGTTGTTACTTCACACGTCAATCTATAAAGCATAATGCCACATAAAACCTTTGACTTTGCCATTACATTTTATTTTATATTAAAATGCAGTATCACATATAGCTGAATATTTCATTATGTTTGTTCTAACACTTTCAACAAGTTATTGAAGAAATATTAAAAATCACCAAGACTGCTCCTGTACATCCAATGTAAATGTATTCTAGATTAATTATTTAATTTATGTTATCACACAAATCAGCATGATGAGCTGTATTCGATATATTTGTAAACTGTAGGAGCTCCACTAGAATTAAAAAGGAAATATTCTGGTTAGAATAAGCTTCACAACATGAGTTGTGGGTGTGGCAGTTTAAGAGGTCAAATCCTGAAGCTTTGACATAATAGTTGATCTTTGATGCCAGCTGACGTCACAGCAGGCTACAACAGATGGTTACAACACCCGTCACCAAAAATCAACACCTAACATCAAATTACAATTTCAGTAGCTCAGATTAGACACAATCTTTCTAAGGAATCTGTTTTAAGTGTTTAGTTATTCTTAAATAATACCAGCTAAACTTCACTGAGCAGACATGACAGGAGCTGAAGTACCTTTAAGGTCTTGTTGTGCCGCTGCAGCTCTCGGCAGAGCCCCTCCAGTTTACTACGAGCCAGCACGGCCCGGCTGTGCTCGCTCTGCAGCTGGTCCTTCTCCTTCATCACTTGGAGCAACTTCTTCTGCAGAACCTTCAGCTGCTTCTGATCACTCCGATGCTCCTCCAACTGCAAAAATACACAGAAAAGTCCACCACATGCCTATAAGGGGAAAGATGCTTATCACTGGTATGTTCTTACTCTCCAATTTTGTTTATATTCATCCACTCACCAGCTCAGCATGCTTCTTGATGATGGCTTCCAGTTTCTGTTCAGGAGTGTTGAGTTTGTTCAAACTTTGCATCAGCAGCATGGCTTCCTTCCCTAAACAGCCACAGAGTTAAACATTACATGTCAGTCAAGTCAGGCTTAATTTTTTTAATTACCCCAGAGCACGAGTTGAATCAGATATATTGCACTCTGATATATAAATCGGAAGTTATTCATTAAATAACTTATTTTGGAAAACCTGTCCGGGATTGCGAGTTATGTAAGGCGTGTTGAAATACTATTTCATCTGCTGCTGCAGATGGATGCACTTACACACTTTACAGCTCCTCTTACATACCTATCAGTTTCAGTACTTGGACTTTTGCAGACTGAGCTGAATGAAACCCACCTCAGTTAAAAATCAATAAAACATTTTGGGAAAAAAACAAAACACCTAGATTTTTCAGCATCTTCTTCTCCAGTTTCTGGTCCTTGCGGGTGTCTGCCTCTTTGATGGCTGTGACCTCCTCTGCGTCCTCTGGCTCAGCGGGAATCTCTGCCGCCTGGTAGGTGCTAATGATGTCCTCCAGCTGCTGGGCCAGGTCCTCTGTCAGGTCAATGTGCTGACCCTCAGCTGGCGACGCCTCTGGACCCAGGGGTGCAGGGCTGCTCTCCTGGCAAGCCTCCATTATTCTGAGCTAGTACTGAGAGGGAAATAGTTGATGTGATGAACCTGATGAATAAACGTCTCATTCATCTCATCCTGACATTGTTATCCAAAGAATTAGTCTCCCATAATAAACTCTGACATTTTCACATGTTCATCCCATTTTGTGAGTTCACTGAGCATTAAGAGGAGGAAACATTTCTGAATAACAATCACCTATCTCCACTGAGAATCATCCTGACTGAATTTTAATATGAATATACCTGAGTCCAATCAGTATCAAATCAATGTCATCTACATAGAAGTTACTAACGTGTCTTAGTTACTTCCTTCTTGCTTTCTGTTTAGTTTTTGGATTTAATCCATAAGCGTCCACAACCCTAACCCTAAATAAATGTAATGTGATAGTACTGAACCTCAATCAACTTCTGTTTTACTAAAAGTAGATTTGCTAAGTTCAGGATACATGAAAAAGCATTACAATAGACCGTTTCCACAGCAGGCATCATATGTCCTAGAATGGAAAGCCCAGGTGTTACTAATAACATTAACAATGATTCTGTTCTATTTCAGTATCCCAGTAAGCCTTGACAGTGAGCCAGCATGCACAACACGAGGACCCTGAAACTGAAGCAGCTAA